TAGTTTTCTGGAATTTTTGTGAATTGAAATTAATTTAGGGTATTTTTCCTGCTGCAGCCAAGCAAGAATTAGAGATAGCCCAAGAAGAGCCACATAGCCAACCACCTAATTTCGATGCCGAATTCAACAAAAAGTAGTCCAATTTGGATATAAATAGCCCAGTCTGGCAACACTGCCTAGTTTGCCAAACCCGAAATTATCTAGAGAGAACTGAATGACATACAACTAACTGACACAGCTGGTGACAGACAGAACAAAGGAAAATTGGGACTCCCTCCCGCGTGGCTCCGACCCTAAGTCTCAACCCTGTCTTCCAGTGGGCCTGGTGCGGGGGGTAACATTGACTAGGTTTGACCAGAGGAAAATTGGCAACTCTCTTGCCGGGGAAGTGTGGGGGGGGGGGGGGGGGGGGGGTTTGCCTTTTTGCTTGATCCCCCAAAGGTCGCCCTGGTGATAGTTGCGAAATTGCAGAGGAGAAGCAAATTGGCAAAGAAAGAAAATCATGCTTTTGGTATTTAATTTCTAGTCTGGGTCGCGCAAGCTATTGCCCGTTATGAAGGGTACAGCCGTTAGCATCCATTCATCCATCCCGATGAGGCCTGTTGCAAGCTCGGGCCTGAGATCACATTAAAGTTTCCCAAAGCGGAGCAATGTGTGCTCGCGCGTGGGCCGACTGTCTCCTAATTTAAGATTAGGTAGGGTGACCAGGCATCCCGTTTTGGGCGGGACAGCCCCGTTTTAGAGGCTCATCGACACCGTCCCATCATTTTGCCTCGAAAAAGCCTCGCGTCCTGTTTTTGCGGGAACGTTCAGTTGAGAAATCGGTACTAAGCGAAAGGAAGCAGACCGAAAGAATGTTTATTCCCATGAGACGGAATTTTACGAAAATGAGCATACTATGAAAATGTTACCTATACAGCACAATTCTGAGCTCTTTCCCTTGTTAAATCTCCCTACAAATCTGCCAGTGACTTCTCTTTTGTAGTACCACTAAATTTGACATGTTAGCTTGGCAAAAATGAGCCAGTGACGAAAGGCACTTGTCTGACTCCGGAACAATATGCGTCTCTACGTTCAGATGAGTATAGTCAGTTGCAGGTTAGGAGTTCAGAGTAAGCTTCTCCCGCCTCTTTAGCAAAGCGAACGCTGGAGAGGAGGTGCCCTCCTCTCCAGCGTTCGCTCAACTAAAGTGGAAAGAGGCGGGAGGAGCTTCCACTTTACTCTTAACCTCTCATTGAATATAGTAGGGCGTTTCCACGTCGGATCATACAATGATCGTCCATGTCATATTTTTTTATATTTCTGTAATAAATACCGTATATGGAAAAGCCAGGCTCTTGGAAAGAACATTCGGCTCTATGTGAACGGTGTAGCTAAAATTTTCCCAGCGATATAAAATTGAGACGCTCGAGGCATGGACATTGCCAAGATTTCACTATGGTAATTTGCGCAGCCGCCAATGTCGTACCAATGCAGGCACGTAATTAAAAAAAATATATTTCTTTTATTTTATAGACAATTTATTACTTGATTGCTAAATAATAACACTTACAACTATATATTTCTATGAAAAGAAATTATGAAACGTAAAAGGAAACACGTTTTCCCAAATTACTTACCAACAAACAACTTAATGGAAAACGTGCACAATATATCGAAAGTTGCATCTTGAAATGACTCTTAATAATATATAAAAAAAATATTTGCTTAGCCATCATTGTAGTTTCGTTATTATTTCAGAAGCGTAAGTCATTTCGCTAAAAGTAGCAAAATTGCACAGGAATATTTAAAAAGAAACTTTATCTTTTATTTCTTTTAAACTCTAACTCCTCGCAGTGACTTGTACTAACTTGTGATTGCAAAATACTGAGTAGCATATAACCTCCAATCGAGAAAAGTGACAACAAACCATCAGTCAAATTGAGCTGGCTTGTTTTCGTTTTAGTTAGGGGCTTTGCCTCACGACATTGGCTTCAAAGAGATATTCTCTAGAACTGACAAAGTGTGTACAACGGTGCTGCTCTATTGCGGAGCGCAGAAAGTCATCATTACTTAAAACCTTGGGACTAGGAAGACCAAAAAAACGGACAACACAACACAAAATCTCAAGAACAGCCGAGTTTATTCGGCCACACCAAAACAAGAAAAGATAAAGAAAACGGTACGTGACGTAGCGAAGATTTGACCAGACGGGGATTGACAGGCTAAAACATGCTTCCGATAACAAGTATCTGCTGCCAAGCACCCATAAAGATAATCTCCATCAAGACTCGAGACCCGACCAACTTTTTGATCTCAAGGTGTTAAATTATGATGTTTCGTAACCACCTTGTTTCGGTGCATTCACTTTTATGAAATTCATACTGTCCCAAGCTTTGTTTTATCTTTCTGTTTCCCTGTGTTGCCTTTTGTTTTGGCACACACCACTGCTGCTGGTAGTTGCAAACAGAACAAAAGGCAGACTGCCGTGAAACTTAAGCACCATTCACACACTTGCAACCGAGTGAGAGAAGACCAGTTTTTAGCCCCTTGCGACAGCAAAGGACCGGATACGCTGCTGCGAAGCAGGTTGTACGCTGTCGCAAGAGATTAAAAACCGGTATTGTCCGTCTTCATCCTACTCGGTGTCAAGTGTGTGAACGAGCCTTAACGGATCTGCCTGGGTGAGTCCGCTTTAGTTTCGGTATGCTTCCAGCAAACAAAATGAAGCCACTGATTCAATCCAAACCAGTTAGTAAAAAAAAAAAAAAAAAAAGATGATGAAACTTTTAAGAGCATATGTCCACAAAATGCAGCAGTGTCCACAAGACGTGTGTGCATAAAACGTTGTCCAGGAAATGTATTTCCACAAAGCGTGCTTCAAGGAAGCGATACTATTGTGGCGACCAGTTCGTCGAACGAGTTTTGATCAACAGTTTGTTCCATCGAAAGACGTCCTGCGTTTGGTTCATCGACAGGCCTTGCAACTTTTCGTCAAACACAACCAGTTTTCGCCACAAACTTTTTACGTCTCGTTTAAATTAAGAGAGAACGGAGGGGGGGGGGGGGGGGGGGGGCACGGCAAGGCTTGGGGGAACATGCACCAGTGAATCAAATGCTAGCTTTTCGCGGCTTAGTAAAAAAAAAATTAAATGTGTCGTCGACGAAACGTTTCAGGGGCCTGTGTTCAAGGGGCACGAGCTCCTACAAAACAAAGTTGTCGATGAACCGTATGTGCATGAAACGTGCCCACGAAACGTGTTTCCACAAAATGATAGGGACCCGCGAAACGCATCCCTGTTCAAACCGCTATCGGTCATTGAATGAGAAATATGGTGCAGATTAAAGTCACTGGATCCTGGGAAAGTAGCGCCATTACCTTCCCTACCTGCTAGCCGGACACAAACAGATACTAACATACAGACGATCCAAACCTCGCAAGGCGATTGGCTAATTGGCCTACGTTGCCATGGAAATCGCCATCTTGGTCCATTTAAATCTTCGAAGTTTCCAGGGGGTCGTTCTAAACCAGTCACGCCAAGATCACCATGGAGCATCATCGTACTGGAAGCGTTCCTCGCCAATATAAGAGTCTTTGGCACTTTGTATGCGATCAACTTATTAATCATGCCCATCTCCATGGATCTCTTACAGTTATATTGTTGACTTCTTGCGCATTTCAAGACAGTAAACTTATTTTTCAGTGCCTCCAAGCACCGACACAGCATCTGGTGGAGGTACGAACATGTACGCTTGTTTCGCCGGTGTGTGGTTAGCAAAATCTCGGTATACAAAAAACGACTCAATAAAGCTACCCGTCACCAGCGAATCTAAATCGGCTCACCAAGAACGGAGGGGTCAAGGAGAAATTGCTCATTTCACGGACCAAGATGGCGACCACACGGGGAGCTTGGCGTTACTTTCCCAGGATCCAGTGACTTTAGTGCAGACAATAGCGACTCCCTTGCCGGAGAGAGGAGGCAGGGGCGATGCTTTTAGTTTTCTTTTTACTGGATCCCCGAACGTCATACTGGCGATCATGGCCTGGTGGTAATTACAGAAATCTGTCGGCTTAAGCTACTGCCCGTTATAAAGGGTACAGTTATAAAGGGTACATCCATGGCTGCCGCTCTACCGCTACTCTTTGTTAAAGGGACACCAACACCCCCCAAAATGTTTTTTTTTTTTTTTTCACTTTTTTGCCAGGCAATTTGTTATGGTGTCAGAAGACTAGCCAATCAATATTTGCTACAGCGTCACATGTAACTATTTTTAATAAAGTAAAAAAAACGAAACTACTCAAAACCGAACCTGGACTGGGAGGAAGAAGTATGGGGGAGGAGAGAGTTGGCCGAAAATCGCATGGCTGTGCAACTTTTTTTTTTCTATCAACATAGTTGCGGCGTTTTAAAAGCCACAAAAAATAGGTATCATATTTTTTTCCATCTTTAATATTGAGTGTGTTTCTGCAATGCTTCGCGACTTTGATTATATTTGATGGTCATGTTTACACCATAGAGAATGGCATGTGACCACAAAGAAGAGAGTGAGCGCAACTCAAACCGGCCAGTTCTCGATCGGTGGTTTTCGGGCAGAAAGAAAACGAATTTCGAGCCGCAAATTGTGTTCTGGGTAGTTGGGCCCTCATATGTCATGAACAGATAAGAATCTTGGCGAGCATTTAAGAACATTTTCATTTCAGTTGTCCCCAAAAGTTCTTGGGCAAAAAGGTGCTACACATATCAAGAATCAACCAAAAGATGCCTCAAACATAGTAGCATTTGTACAAAAACGAGTGATGTCAGTTTTTAGGTTCCCTGCTTATTGAAAATGCTTCAAGAAAAAGTAAAGCCATAAAGAATGACTAAAGAAATTAGGGAAACAAAAGAATTTTACATTGTTCTCCTGAACAAGATGCCTGTACAATGGATATCATCTAGAACATAATTTTGGAATGCACTCAACCAAATTTATTTAACAATATTCTATGGTCATCCGATCTGATGTTTTTAATCTCACAGCATTCTATGCCTGCCATCAACGGAATGGGCGATGGTGCCCAACTGGAAATGGCATCCTTCAGGGTTGCCGAGTTCTCCGAAGTCCTCGACTGGAGGCCCATGCTGTTCCAAGAGCCCATCATTGCACAGAGAGCCTGTGTCCTGTGCGGCGTCGTGTACAAGAAAGCAGTCAGGCTTCCCTGCGTACACACACTGTGCGCAAAGTGCCATGCCCAGTGCGTCGAACGAGGAAGCGCTTGTCCTGTCGACCAGAAACCATTCTGCGAAGATGATGCTGAACAGCTGGACGTCTCTCTCAAGTATCTCCTGAACCGTACGGTGAGTTGCCGTAACCTCTGCTACTGCTCTTAGTTGAAATGCCCCATCTTCACTTCCGAGCTCTCAATATGACCAGAACTACTCCACGTAACAGTTAGCACCCTCTACATAAGTGAGTGGAGACCAACAGTACACAACAACAATAGCAACACCAGAAGTAGGCCTCTTTGTCACCTACACATCTGACGTCAACAGCATTTGCACAAAATTCTACTGTTTTTCGTCTTCGATTTAGAAATCGAACGAAGCTACTACATTTTTGGCATATACATAGTGTAATTGAATCATGGCACATACTTTTTCGACATACTTTGTAGATTTTTCCGTCCTTCCCAGGTTGCCTGCTGGAATGCACCTAAAGGCTGCTGCTTCATCGGCACTGCAGCCAGCCTCTTGGACCACTACAAGGAGTGCGGCTTCAGCGTCGTGCCTTGCTGCCTGTGCCGCTCTTCAGTGTTGCAGCGCGACATTATGGAGCACTTCAAGAGTGGATGCAGCATTCGCGGAGCAAAGTGTGCGCCTACTGACAACCCTGCCACAGAAGACCTCAAGGACGTCAGCAGTGCTTTTCTCGAGATGAAGAGAGCCACGGGAAAGATCTCCGAGGACCTCATGTCGCTGCAGACCAGCCTGAACCGGTGCAGCGAAGACGTCAGGGCGAAGGGTGCAAGATGGAAGGGCCAAACGGAGGCTGAGGCTTCCAAGCTTGCTGAACAGCTGAACAGCCTTAACACGGTCTGCACCACCGGTTTCGCCGAAGAACTGCGAGTTCTTCAAGCAACAATGACCGACTACAAAGAGCATGTGAGCAAGGAGCTCTGTTTGCTAGGCCACTGTAAGCCTGTGAGGGTCCACTGGTACATTGAGGGGTGGACAGACCTGAAGAAGAAAGCACTTGAGCTAGGGTTGCAGTCGATAGAGAGTCCCCCAAGGGTCATTTACGGTTATAGTATATCCCAAGTTTTTGATATCGACCTAAAGGAGGGTGAGGGCGCCATTGGGTGCTACATACAGATACACCCCGGGAAACAAGACGAGCAGCTGGAGTGGCCCTTTCGCAAGGTTTACACGGTTGGTGTCATTCACCCCAAAGACCAATCAAGTGTGATTTCGGACAAGGTAAATCCTGGTAACTGTGGAGATGAATACCAGGAATGCTTTCTGAGGCCCAAAAAGCAAGCAAATTTTGGATATGGAGCACAGAGCCTGACAACAGTCGAGGAGGTTGAAACGGGTGGGTTTATAGAAAGCAATACACTCCACATGTTCTTAGAGATAGAGTCATAAATTCTCTTCATATTTGTTGTACATTAATTAGGATTCAGCAAGTACTGGTTTGCTTAGCTTTGCAAAAAGAGCTTTTAACTTTTCTGAGAGCCTGATGTAAGAAAAGGATTGCAAGTTATACTTTCCTTGCATGTATTACAGTGTATTGTTAAAAAAAATGTTGCTATGTGAGTTGGTGTTTTAACTTGAATTAACTTTGTTACTTTTTAGAGATCTCCAATTATATTTTCTAGCTGGTCGAGAGCCTCCAAGAAATACTTCTGTGTCAGAACTCTAATAGTTTCATTCACTATCAAAATTGGATTGTGGCTAGTGAACAGCCCTTAGGCCTGCTTAAATCTGTTTACATTTTAGAGTGCAGCTCTTAGGCGCCCGTTTCCGGGTTGAGAGGCATCGCCGTCGGCTCAACCACGCGTTGCATTATGGGACGTTTCCCATAATGACGTCGCACGTGACATCACTTGAATCAATGTGTTGTCACGTGAAATTTAGCAGAAAAACTTTCCCGTTTAATTTAGTGGAAAAATTTCCCAGCTAAATTTAGCGGGGAAATAGACGTCGCGTGACCTCAACCTCAATTTAGTTTCCCACGTTTTCTGCGTGGTGCATGACGGGTAAATTTCCCCGCTAAACTTAGCCAAAAATTTTCCCCGCTAAATTTTGCGGAAAAATTTCCCCGCTAAATTTATCGGAAAAAATTACCCGCTAAATGTAGCGGAAAATTTTCCCCGCTAAATCTAGCGGAAAAAATTACTCGCTAAATGTAGCGGAAAATTTTCCCCGCTAAATTTACCGGAAAAATTTCCCCGCTAGCAGAAAAATGTCCCCGCCAGATCTAGCGGAAAATTTTCCCCGCTAAATCTAGCGGAAAAATTTCCCCGTTAAATTTAGCGGGAAATTTTTCCTTAAATGGGCGCGAGCAGGAGAGGAGCAGGGGCATGGCCCCCTCTCCACACCTTCCCCTCCTCCTCCTCAAGAGCTGCACTCTAATTTGGTGTTACAGGGAGTTGTAAACGGCTTTCAGTTTTGTGTTAGTTTTGTTTTAGTTTTGATTGCAGACTAATCAGATTTTGGACTTCACACCTAATTTAGAAAGCAAACAGTCAGGAGTGATATTTTAGTTATGCTTGTATATATGTTGTTGCTTTTGATGGGAACTTCATTTTTTTAAATTCAGCTTTTGTTGAGAAATTTTTTAGTTCAACTTCATAGTGCTGTATGGTGTTATGATTAGGGGTTATTTCAGACACATGTTTAGAAAATCGTGCACTGCTTATAACGGAATAAAAGTTATCATTTTATTTGTTGAGTAGCATTACGACTCAATACAGCTTTATCTATCTTTCATTGCGCTATCTCACTTTCTGAAATATAGCAACTCTCAAAGTATTTACCCCTTGAAATTATTAAAAAAAAAAGAGAACAATGAATGAAAACAAAACTGACACTGGTTTATCGAAACCAATGGATAAATACTGAAATTAACTGTTAGGGGCGAAGCTCCTTAGGGTCTAGCCTTGTCCGTCCGTCCGGACGGCGTCCATGCTCACATAAAAAGAAAAAAATGTTTGTGCAGTAGACACGATTCGAACCTGTGCGGGGGGACCCCAATGGATTTCTAGTTTATCGCCTTAACCACTCGGCCACGACTGCGGGACAAGTAGGGGGCTCTGAGATGTGGTACTAACTCAAGAGCTGAGGCTTCTGTCATGGATGAAACGTTGCATGTAGCCACTCAACGTCTATAGAGGAGAGGGCGCTGTGGTCAAATGCGTATATAATCGCGTTAAACTTTGCATACATTGGCTCAACGTTTATAGACGAGAGGGCGCTGTGGTCGAATGCTCAAATGCGTATATAACCACGTTCCATACCACACATTCTCTTTCTGACATGGACCGTTAACTTAAAGGGAAGCTGAAGCACTTCTTGAAAAAAACGAGTTAGAGGTGAATTCTGGCGTATTTTTATCCCGTGAATCTGAATATCACTTTTGTTTTCCCCGAAGATGCAACTAAAAGCGAGAAAAAGCGAAAAAACATTCGACCAGTCGTGACGTCATACTAGGATCTTCGGGCCTCCAAGCGCGTGTCGCTCGTGTGTTCAGCGCGTGCAACGGCAAGCTTGCCAGGTATATTTCCCAGCACTGACACCAGTCGTGACGTCTCTTTCTGACCTTTCTGAAAATAGCAAGAGTGCGCGTGCATAGCTTTGACAGGCGCTGAAGATGCGCGAGAGCAGATATTCCGAACGCTCCTAGTGTGACGTCACGCCCCGGGAAGGAGGGGCTTCGGCGGTACTTTAAAAATTAATTTCTGAAGCCTCCGTGCACCAAATTGAAAAATAATCTTGATATTCCTGATCCTGGAGGTCGAATGAAGGCCATTGAAATGTTTTTTCTCAAATAGAGAACCGCTTCAGTTTCCCTTTAAGCGGTGGAGATGCGCTCCCACGGCTTCTAGCGGATCCAAGGTGATCTGCTAGAAGAACCACTGGCTCTGCATTTCACTGACCATAAAGCAGTAATAATGAAGTCGAAACGCAACCCGGAACTCAGCACTACCTATGAGCAATAAAAAAAAAAATCAGCACCATCGGCACACATATGAACAATAAAATCAGTATCATCAGCACCACCAGAGCTTCGCCCCAATCAATATCATTCACCACGTGGAGATGCAGTCTTTTTCACATTCATATGTCTTCGGTGGCAGGGCTGTCGGTAGGCAGACGTGTGGCTTGAGGAATGCTGCTACCATTCTTGAGGTGCTCCAAAACGTCACTCTACAGCACAGTTGAGTGACCACAAGCAGCAAGGCACGACGTTCAAGTCACATTCCTTGTAGTGGTCGAGGAGGCATGCTACATGACAAATGAAGCTGCAGCCTTTAGGTGCATTCCAGCAGGCAACCTGGGACCAAAGAAAAGGTATTAAAATTGGGTGAACTGTCTTTTGGTTAAAAAATGTTTATGCTAATAATATAGGAACTTAGGAAAGGTTGTTAATGACAGTCAATGAAGCAGAAAAATGGTGCAAATACCATTAGTGCACTGATACATAAGGAACCTCATTGTGCTTTACTTCTTGTGTCACTAGTTCGGTTGTTTTCCGCTCTTGAAGGATGACCCACAAATTAATTAATTGGGTACAGACCCATACATGCAACGTTTCTGTGCCCAATGCACATGGGCAGAAAAGAAGGGTGGACAGCTTAACTAGTAACTGTGAGGGGGGAGGTTATGTACTCACAGTACAGTTGAGGATGAACTTGAGAGGGACCTCCAGCTGCTCGACCATCTTCGCAGACGAGTTTCTGGTCGACGGGACACGCACTCCCTTCGTCAACACACTGGGCCTGGCACCTTGTGCACAGCGTGTGGTTGCAGGGCAGCCTGACCGCTTTCCTGTATAAAACCCCGCAGAGGACACACGTTTTCTGCGCAATTATGGGCTCTTGGAACAGCGTGGGCCTCCAGTCGAGGGCGTCGGAGAACCCGGCTATTCTGAAGGACACCATCTGCACAGGGCCAAGGTCACCGCCTGCCATTCCTCAGTGGTATGCAAAGAAGTATGTAAATTGTGCAGGTTTCTTCTTCAAAACACCTGTGGAGGACATTTGAAATCATGTAAGCAAGATGTCAAAACAAGGAAGCAATGACACAAACTCATAAACCAATAACACATAGCTAAAACAGATCAAACAGTTGCTTGACTCTCACCGGAAGACCAGCCTCCCAGTAGATTTTGCACACAAAGTCAGCGTTTACAGGGAAACAGTGGCTGCTCCAATTGCACTGTAATGCCAAAGCCAGAAAGCAGGCACCCTTTAAAAACACTGCGGGTGTTCTTCCAGACGGAAATCTGAGCCTCGCTTTTAACGCAGTACTTACATCAGTGCAGTGGCATACCAACTTGTTTTGAGTTGGGGGGCAAACCTAATACCGACACCCCCCCCCCCCCCCCCCCCCCCCCCAGGCTGGGGGGCGGTACCCTTGGTATCCCTTGGGCATCGCCGGCCAGTGTTTGCCCTGCCCAGTGGCATTGCTTCAGGGGGGAAAACACATGCCTTGCCCCCCACTCTGTGAACTCTAGGGGGGCAAACGCCCCCCTTGCCTTCCCAGTTGGTACACCCATGCACGAGTGCTTGCCATGGGTTGTTGGGAAGCAAACGTGTGGCTTGGGGAATTCTGCTATCATTCTTGAAGTGTTCCAATATGTCACTCTGCGGCACTATTGAGTGGCACAGGCAATCCACCCAAGTATGATTACAAGTAATTCGACTCAAACATTTGTGTCCTACAGAAAATGCTCACCTACCTGAACGGCCAGTAGCTTCTTTGCCGAGGGAGGAAGTTGTGGATAATGCTCAAGACAAACTGAAACTTCCAGTTCATATCTATAACAAGCCCGGACTTTTGACCGTGTACCCATATTGTACGGAGACACCATGTGAGACCATCGGAAGACAGATTAGTGCAATCTACAAGATCAAAGTACAGAGAGTGATATTATTGAAAAAACGTTTCAGCTCCATGTGAAGCCAGTGAATCGACACTGCTCATGACGTTTTGCATGTTCATGTCATGCTGCTGTCAAAAACCGTGCTAGTGTCAGATCGTAACAATTTTTCTTTTCTCGTCATCCTCGTCCACCGGTCACTCTCGAGAAATAGATCTTTCTCGCAAAGTTTTAGGGTGAGTTTTATATTTGTCCTTTGTTAAACGAAAAAGGGTGTGCATATATCTGCTTGATCCAACATCGCCATAAATTAATTACCCAGAAGTCCCGAGCAATTGATTTTAACACGCGTTTTATCAGCCGATTTTCATGGAGTTCTGGGACGTTTGGCGGCACGCATAAAAAAACTTTAGTCCCCCGGCAGAATTTGAACTCGCCACCTTGAGCCAAGTGCTTTGCCGACTGAGGCTATGCAGGGTTGGTGGTATGGACCACACAAAAGCGAGCTCATCCGCACGGCGCGTGAAGGCGTAGTTGCGCGTTTCGCTACCTTTCCTTCCTGTCGTGCAATGCCATCTCGCAGCGTTTGTCAGAAATGAAAACGAACCTTCGGTAGGCGGTGCCATTCAGACATCCTTCTCTTCTTCCCTGGAAGGCTTATCGAACATTCTGTGCTTACCAGTCTTTGTCAGCATCAACAAGCTTGTACAACGTTTATTTCATGCTTGCCTTCGTTTGTTTGTGGTGTTTAGTACAATCCGTCAAATTTAGGACATAATTATACAAAACGTTTCGCAGCTTCCTCATACCACTGGATAGTTAAAGGGCAATATGCTAGATGACTGCCCACCGCACGAAGAGCACAGAGCAGGATGAAGTCGTGCAACTAGAAATAAAATATTCTGATGTCCAGAAGCACTCCATTACAAAAATTAGAATATGGAAGAGTATTTCCTATAAAGTAACTCAGTTTATTGACAACCACATAAGATACCATTACATGCAAGGGAAGTATTGCTTTCCCACTCGTTTTTCTGCATATCTCGGCAAAGTTGCAACGGAAGAGTTGAGCAGCATCAAGCTTCCGATTGCCGAGGTTGAAGACGAAGCCTACGGTTCAATTTCCAAGAACACATGAAGCGTGTCATTCTCGATAAACCCGTCAAATTTAGCTCTTCCACCGCAGAGAGGCACCCTGCTCCAAAGCCTCCATTCCTTCTTCCCTTTGGCCTGAGGAATATGTTTCTCTGACATATATGCCAACCAGAATTTACCTTGTAGGAAACCACATTTGACTGGCCCTTCGGGTGAATGACACAGACCGTGCACACCTTGCTGAAGGGCCACTCCAGCTGCGAGTCATGTTCCCCGGGGTGTAAATGCATGTAAGACCCGAGGCCCACCTTCCTGCCCATACTATAAGCTGGACAGATTGGGATACACTGTAATCATACACGGTCCTCTTGGGGCTATACACGCTCTTCGAGCCACTTCTAAGTGCTTCATTCTTCAGGTCTGCCCAGTGTTCAATGTACCAATGGATTCTCCCATGCTTAGAAGGACTTGGCAAACTTTTGTGCACCACATCCAAGATGTCAGTCAGCTTGTCCCTTTGCACACAGAGCTCCTCACGCACATGCTTTTTTTAGTCGGCCATTGCTTCCCTAAGAACCTGCAGTCCCTCAGTGAGTTCAGTGGCACAGACTGTACTAAGGCTATTTAGCTGCTCAGTGAGCCTACAAGCTTCAGCCTCTAATTGGCCCTTGCATCTTGTTTGTACCCTCAGCTCTTGCATCTTCACTGCACCGGTTCAGGCTTGACTGCAGCGACATGATGTCCCCGGAGAGCTCTGTTCGTCTTGAGACAAACTTTGGTAACATTCCCAAGGTCTTGTGTGGCAGGGTTGTCGGTAGGCAAACTTGTGGCTTGGGGAATGCTGCAACCATTCTTGAAGTGCTCCAAAATGTCACTCTGCAGCACTGTTGCGTGACACAAGCAGCAAGGCACGACGTTGAAGTCACATTTCTTGTAGTGGTCCAGGAGGCAGGCTACAGGACCAATGAAGCTGCAGCCTTTAGGTGCATTCCAGCAGGCAACCTGGGCTCAAAGAAAAGATATTGGAATTGGGTGAACAGTTTTTTGATTAAAGAATGTTTATGCTAGTAATATAGGAACTTAGGAAAGTTTGTCAATGGCAGTCAAGGAAGCAGAAAAACGGTGCAAATATTGTTAGTGCACTCGTACATAATAAAACTCCGTTGTGCTTGCCAACTACTTCTTGTGTCACTAGTTCACAGCTGTTTTCCACTCTTGAAGGATGACCCACAAAGTAATTCATTGGGTACAGACTCATACATGCAACGCTTCTGTGCACGATACACTCGGGCAGAAAAGAAAAGTGGAAAGCTTAAAGGGGCCCTGCAATCATATTTAAGCGCCTAACTTTTTGCGGTTTCCATGTCTCTTGCGGTTCAGGCCAGAGCCGTATATTGGGAGAGTTTGGCCAGTGGGTGTGGCGACGAAGGCGCCGGAGAGGAGAAAAATAAATGAAAGGGAGGAGAGCGCCAAAGGAGCAAGAGAGAAAGAAGGGAGCAGAGAGGAGACGACCGCCATTTTTTAGCAACGCTGTCGGAGAAGAGCACTGCTGAGGCTACGCGTCATCTGCTACAGGCCGACTTCTTTTTCGCCTGAATAAAAGTTTGTGGCCATACGCCGAAAAATCTTCATTTATTAGCTTTTTAACCCACCGAGGAATAACAGAATGTCATTTTCTTGCCAGAGCCAGCGATATAAAAGGCAATAATCGAGATTCAGATGCCGATCCCACGCATTCCGCCGGGCGAATGATCGAAGATGGCGGCCCTTCCCACTCAGGTGGGAGCAGCCGGGAGGTCACGTGCATGCGCTCATGCCTCTCGCTCTATGCCGCGTTCTGATTGGCTCACTCGCGAGGAGAGCGTTGCAGCGGCGAGATCATAGACTGACCGAACTCTCCCCATATACGGCTCTGGTTCAGGCAAGCCAGCGGGCACGGAGAGAATAACTAAATATCAGTGCGTCATATTTTAACCGGACAATGCGGAAACCTCCTCCACCTACGGGGGCGACCCGCGGTGCCGAAAGCGCGCGATGTGTCCTTACTACTGGTCAGAGCCACTGAAAGCTTCTTCTTAATCGAAAGAGAAAATAAAAGTGGCTACATGAACTGTTTCAATTATTTATGAAGGTAGTTTTAGTTCAGTATTTTAGATCAGAAAAGAAACAAATTCAGTTTATAAAGTAGGGAAACAAGAAATGACCCGTCGACATACCCGTCACCAAGCGGTGGTAAAGGCGGCGCATGCTAGAAAGGGGTAATGGGATCAGACACCGACTAGCGGCGAGCGTAGAAAGGTCGCGGATGTACGCGGCGGCGCTGCAGTCGTATACGGGCTCGAGGATCGAACCGGTTCCGACCGTTCCGAAGGCCTTTAGCAAGCAGGTTTGGCTTGCGGTTTGGCCGTTTGGCGGTATGGCAGTGCAAAGTGGCTCCTGTTCTGAACTTATATCTACCCCGTGTTTGTTGTCGTTTGTGGCCAATTAAGTGTCATACCGAAGTAGTGTTTAATTGCGCTGCAAATGCAATGCGAGCTGCCCTGGCTGCCCGCTTCATACAGCCTATCCAGAACATGCTTTAGTGGTGCCCTCTTGAGCCGTCGACACGGAGTGCGGCAGCCGTGAGCACTCGCTGAGCTCCTCTAGCTGACGGCCACTCAACCGACCAAGGACTTTACGAAGGAGGTTATTCTTTGCTCGTTTTTGTAACTTTATTTTGCCTATAACTTTTAAAACAAAGCAAAACTCGAGAAAAGAAAAGTTTCATTAAGATACTATGTTCGGTGCAAATTAAAAAAAAAACAATAAAAACAGTCAAAAAGTTGTTGCACGGCAACTCCGGTTCATAGTTTCAATTTTGGGATTACGACAGTTTTTAGCGCAGTCAGCGTCCCTGAATTACAAGGTGTTATTTTTTTCTGTGTATTGTGCGTAGTTTTAAAAATATAGACACCTTAAAGTTTTGTTTGGGGCGCGGTCGACAAAACCGAAACTAGCCGCTTGAGGCGACAGCAACACTAGTAATTAGCCGCTAGGCGGACGTGACGTCACGGTTGTTCTCGTCCCTGCCTTGTTCTGGCGCAACAAGTATGTGGTCCAAGCGGCAACTACCTCTGTTGTGCTAGCCGTTCTTGGCCAGTAGTTACTAGTAACATGTTACCGGTAACTAGTTACTTTCTTCAGTAACTTGTAACTCTATACCGATTAGTGAAAAGGACTTCTAACTGTAACAGAGTTACTATTTTTGGAAGTAACTGTAAAAAGTAACTTCGTTACAGTTACTTCTCAGATTGATCTGGAAACATGTTGCAAACACGACCACCAAATCGTCTCGCAACTCGTGAGAGTCCCAAGTCCTGCTACGGAAAGGGCACAGCAAAAACTGCTGCAGAAATGTCTGGGGCAGGAGGGGAAAAAAGAAGAAGAAACTAAATTTTGGATGACCCTGCTTGGCCAAGCTGGTACCATTAACTAAACAAACAAAATTTGGGGGTTTTACGTGCCATACCAACGACGGGCATCTGGCATGCCCCAGCAGAGGACTGGGGATTAATTTGGACCACCTGGGGATCTTTTGACATGCAACCGAAAGCTCGGTTACACGGCGCCTCCTCCGCAATAAGCCTTCGTCAGATTGCGGGCACGTCGGCCAAAATTCGAACCCGCCACATGGGGATCCGTAGGCCAGCGCTCTCGCCTCGGAGCCACCGAGGCGGCTTGGTACCGCCAATTGGAAGGATGGGGACATTAGTGTCCGCACCAGCCGTATATGGTACATCGCCCACAGCGCATGCAGGTGTAACAAAGCAAGGCATCTATAGAGCGTTTTTCTTTTCTTCGTCCGATGGAGGGAGCAAGTTCTTTTTGGAGAGGACAGCTTTTGGCGAATGTCGCCCTAAACGCCCGCAGGATTACGGCACAAACCAATTCTCCGAATTTCGTCTTCTTCCCGCCAAGCATGTTTTTTTCCCCTCTCATTTGAATTGTCCAAATTCCAAATGCACTCTGGCTGGGTGTCTACTTCAGGCCCATTTTCTCTCCCTTCCTTTTTCTCTTACAACCCAATTACCAGCCTTGCCTCCCGTCACCCACCTGTCCCGCTTCAGGTCCCATCACTTGAGAAAAAGTATTCGCTCGAAACGTCTGTTGTTCTGCTCGTTTGTGCGTTTTCTTGAAATTGAAAGACCGCCCTTAGCCGGGACCAGAGGCAGTTGGCATCACTTGATTTTTCGATATTCACGTCGTGGGCTTTCCGGGTGGTTTCTTCTATTTTGGGTGATGAGGTGGAGGAACACAAGTGTGTTCGATCTGGTTAGGAAGTGGTGGAGAAAAGATTGCAACAGCTGTTTGGAATTCTACAAGCAATGGTCGTTTGTACCTTGATCAGCACTTATTTTGTCAGAGGAATGTTGCTTCAACATTGCTCTTCAAGTGTTTCATGAAAGATTGTGCGCGTGCAATAGAAAATGATTCGACCGACGAGTGGATTGGAGTGGCATAAGAAAACATCTACAAAGCTGATTGCAAGGTATAACTTATATTATTATTGACTTCACATTTGCACAACTCTTATTGCTTCCGTCCGATTTTGCCTCATCAAAGAAATTTGAATTGGTCGATTGTAGACTGGCACCATGGTTGTATATATACGAGATCTGGACACCAGTTGTTGTGTTCGTGTATACCTTATGGACGTCGCACATTTTTTTATGTTTTTCATGGACCAGGTATCTGCTATGTTAAAAAATTGAAAAACTAAAGTTGCCTATAATTTCCCAAAGACGAGAATTTAAATCTTTTATCATATTGCGGATTGGCTTGGATACTGCCTTAGATTATGACCTTGTTCAAGGAGCTATTCATGGTAAAAATTGAAAAAGGAAGAACAAAACATGTTAATATTGATTATTAAGAAAATCTTAGTTTCTCAAAATAATCAGATTCACTACCATGAACGACACAATGTCTAATAAGAAATCTATGCTAATTTAAAGGCATATACATGAATGATAAAGTAGTGAGTGCGCAGGCGAGCTGGTGGATGTTAACCATTTTGTTCATGGCCCGAGAGTGAGGCAGGAAAAGAGGAAAGCTTCAAAGTAGAAGAAAAATGAACAGTCGACTGTTTATTTTTCTTCTACTTTGAAACTTTCCTCTTTTTTCTGCCTCAGTCTCGGGCTAAGAACAAAATGGATATACAGGAATGTTCTTTTTGATTGTTTTCTTATGTTTCTGTGTAAAGTAACGACGAAGTAACGAGGTTACTTTTGCAAAGTAACTAACTGTAACAAGTTACTCTTTAAATAATGTAACTGAAACAGGGTTACTTTTTTGCCTGAGTAACTGTAACACTGTTACATTTTAGCAGTAACGTGCCCATGACTGCAGCTGGGTCAGTCCTGACACCACGATGCGCGCACCGAGTTGCTTGCTAAAACGAGCCTTGGAGTCCTCCTCACAAGCCAATAAACAAAAGGCTATACCGATGCTACAAGTGCTACAGATAAAAGCAATGGCTAAATACGCCAATCACCAGCCCGGCGCCGTTTTGCACAGGAGACAAGAGATGGTGCAACGAACAGCGGCAACGAACGAGCACACGGCGCCGAGAGCCAGTGTCTTTAGCAGACAATCTTTTTGACTCAAAAGCGGCGCGCGTTCTGCAGGCAGCGACAGTCGCAGAAACAAAAACAGGCGCGGTAACAAGAAACTGCAGTTTCTTGTCTGCTAAGGACGCCGGCTCTCAGCGTCGTACGCTCGTTCCTTGGCAGCAGTTGGTGTCGCGACCTTTCCTTGCATCACCCTGCAGGTATTAGTTGGCAATGCGGCGTCCCCTTTATGTAATATTTTGGCTTGGGTCGTACTTTGTGTCGCTAAAGCGACACCAGTAATTTATTTCCTTTGGAGTTTTGGCCGGAGTTGCCCTTTAAAGGGATGCTGAACCGATATTTGGAATCTCATAATTATTGCCCGAGCGGGCTTCACGGGATGGTACTGTACCTAAAAACGATATTCAATCAGACGGATGGGGCCCGAATTATTAATCCTCGGCCGGAAGCCGTTGGCGCGAGCGAGTCCTTCTGAGAGCAGGCGTAGCGGAACTGACATGCGCATTCTCGGCGCCCGCAGCGCCCCTGGTGCCTCTGCGCATTCTCCTCGTTCGTTGGTGCTCGCCTTGATTCTTCGCTCGGCGGCTGTTCTCAAAGTGGCTGGTACTAACAATAACAAACGCCACCCGGCTTAGCGTCTGGCTTGGCTTGGCTCCGTCCGTCTTTTGAGGCGAATGAGAATGCGCACGTCACGAAGCGAGCTTTCCACAACGCTCACCAGGGGTCGCGTAAAATTGTATTTTTCGTGTTTATTCAATTTTATACGCCTTCTCGCTCAGAATAACGTCATTTAGAAGTAAAGGACATGCTATGTATGCCATCGTGACCAAGAATTTCCACCCAAAATTTCGGTTCAGCATCCCTTTAACTAGTAACCGTGAAGGGGAGGGAGGTTAAGTACTCACAGTACGGTTCAGGATGTACTTGAGAGGGACCTCCAGCTGCTCAACATCATCTTCGCAGAAGGGTTTCTTGTCGACGGGACACACACTCCCTTCGTCGACACACTGGGCATGGCACTTCGTGCAAAGTGTGTGGATGCAGGGCAGCCTGACCGATTTCCTGTATAAAACCCCGCAGACGGCGCATGTTTTCTGCGCGATGATGGGCTCTTTGAACAGCGTGGGCCTCCAGTCTAGGGCGTCGGAGAACCCGGCTACTCTGAAAGACTCCATCTCCACAGGGGTAAGGTCGCCGCCTGCCAATTCCTCCGTGGCATGCAAAGAAATATGTAAATCATGCAGGTTCCTTCTTCAGAAGACCTGTGGGGGACATGTGTGCGATCATGTAAGCAAGATGTCAAAACCACAAAGCAATGACACAAACTCATGAAACTATAACAAATAGCACATACAGATCAAACAGTTGCTTGGCGCTCTCCGGAAGACCAGCCTCCCAGGAGCTTTTGCACATCAAGTTATGTTAGCGTTGATACGAAAACAGTGGCTGCTCGAAATGCTCCGTACTGCTAATGCCAGAAAGCAGGCACTCTCCAAAGTACTGTGGGTGTGGGTGTCCAGTACATCAGGAAGTCTTCTTCCTGACTGAAATCACAGCCTCATTTCAAAGCGGCGTTTACATGAGTGGAGGGGCTAGCGTCTGGTGTTAGTTTATTAGTCGTGTGGTTTGTGGATAATTTTCTGATGGCAGACGGCTGCTGCGAACGACTGATAGCCCCCTTCTACACTTTCCCATCTACATCAATGGCTCTTCAAAGCTTTAGGTTCCTAAGATTAATTGTGTTGCGTGCGGTAACAAATTCAAAAGAGTAAAGCTATACGCACTCCGGAGTGCGCTTCGCGCGGAAATGGCTATACGCACTCCTCCGAGAGATCATGCCGCTTGGGCCACCCTTTTCGAACGGCGCGTGAATCACTGGAGCGCTCGTTAACACAGCCCCCCGCCTGCGTTCACGCCGCTTCGCGGCGACAGTATCGGCTGCTAATTACAAAGCGTAACCAGTACACGCCGCTTCGCGGCGTCCAGCCGGCAATCCAAGCCCCGCTGTCCCCGATCGCACCTCCGGAAAGGGAGTCCGATACCATTTAGTTCTACGAAGTTTCTTGACAACATTCGATTTTTTTTTAGAGCGCAGCTCTTAGGGGCCCGTTCCCGGCTTGAGCGGCGTCGCCGTCGGCGTCGGCGTAACCAAGGTCATCCCAAGGTCACGTGGCCCCCAAGGTCACGTGACACCCAAAGTCACGTGACCCCCCCGAGGTCACGTGACCCCCCCCCCCCCCGAAGTCACGTGACACCCCCAGGTCACGTGACCACCCCCAGGGTCACGTGACCTCCCCGATGACGTCACCGGCATCCGCATCGTCATCATCACTGATGACGTCATCAGTGACGTCACTGATGACGTCATCAGTGATGATGACGATGCGGATGCCGGTGACGTCATCAGTGACGTCACTGATGACGTCATCAGTGATGATGACGATGCGGATGCCGGTGACGTCATCAGTGACGATGACGTCATCGGGGAGGTCACGTGACCTCGGCGGGGGTCACGTGACCTGGGGGTGTCACGTGACTTCGGGGGGCATCCGCATCGTCATCATCACAGATGACGTCATCGGAGTCCGCATCGTCATCGTCACTGATGACGTCATCAGTGACGTCACTGATGACATCATCGGCATGGTCACGTGACTTCCCAAGGTCACGTGACCCCCCCCCCCCAGGTCACTTCACCCCCCAGTACCCTTCCCTCCTCCTCCTCAAGAGCTGCGCTCTAATTCGGTGTTACAGGGAGTTGTAAACGGCTTTCTTTTTTTTTTTTTTTTTACTGTTCATTGCAAAAAAGGAAATGTCGTAAATATCGCCAAATGCCTCGACAAAACAAAATGTTTGAGAAAAAAAAAAAAAAAAAAAAGAAAGTAGGCCCACCGCGGATTGAACCCGCGTCCACTTGCGTATGAAGCGGACACCCTAACCCCTATGCCGTGGCACCGCTTAGGAAATAAAACAAAAAAAAAAAAAAAAATTGGCTTGCTCTTTATGTTTATACAGCCTTGATGGAGATGCGCCTCAACGGGTAATCGGTCTCTTAGCTGTAGATGAGAAATTTAGCCAGTGCGGTACAACCGCTAACCTGGGATTTTTTTAACGTGCATCACGCAGTAGTGATCACACGAACGCGTGCCGGTACGAAACTCATCCAGATCGAAACGGGCGGGGGCGGCGGGGATCGAACTTGATCGAACCCAGGAGGTTCCCAGCGCAAGCTTTCGCTCCACGCTCCGAGCTGAGACGCGTTAGCCCACTCGGCCACATTTGCACACCAAGTAAAAGGAGGAGAGGGAAGCTGCTTTTGTAAGAATTTTGAGTGACGGGTTAATCTTCTATAATCTTCTGGGAGGAGAATAGCGACGCCTGTGCAAATCCGGAAGGCACAAAGGAGGGTCCTGATAAGAGGGGAGCTCCTTCTCCCCCTCTTCTCTGGAGGGTATCGGAAATGACGTCATATGCAAGGAGCCAAGCGGAGTGCGTATAGCCATTTCCGTCCGAAGCGCACTCCGGAGTGCGTATAGCTTTACTCAATTCAAAATGTTTGCGCGCGCGCGTGCGTGTGTAGACACGCACGCCGAGTTCGGTTGCACATCCGCGCGCGTTGAGCTTGCAGCAAAGTATGCTATGACTGTATACAAACCTGCGACGTTGTTATGGCGAAGCCTGTCCTTATTGGAAAAATACTCCGAGCAGAACTGCTTCACAAAGCCCGCGCCATTGCGTAAAAATGCGTTCCGCTCCGATTGGATTGGATCGAACTGGATTGCAGTTGCACTCTATTCTGTGCGTCCCAAGATCAGTGGTGCGGGTGGTGCGTCCCCTGCAAAAAAAAAAAAAAAAGAAAAGACGAAAAAATGTGCCTCATCGGAGCTAGTAACTGATAGTGGCGTTATAATTTCGACGGAGCACATATTTTTTTTTCATAATAAGATATTATTTTTTCATAAGATAATGTAAAATACTTTAAATTGTTTTTGTTTTCGTCCGTGCGACAGCCGCTGCGGGTTTTCGGGTTGTGGCACTGGCTGGTTTTGAGAAGATGGCGTCTGACGCGGCAAGCTCAAGTTGCTCAAGTACCTCTCCTGCTCGGATATTTTCGAAGATTCTTTGTGTGAAGACCTCGAAAAAGCGCAAACAGGTAATCGCCCACGTGTACGCGAGTACAAGAACATGTTTCCCGGAGAAGTCGGTCGTGAAGTCCTGGAGCCGGTCAGTAACGACACCGGAGTGTGCGCCCGCACTGTCGCGAAGTACAAGGCGCAGTGTCTATCAGGCAAGGTGGCGTCCCCGAAGCGAAGACCTCGCAACATAAAAGTTTCGAGCACGGGGACCGTCAGGCACATAATCGCAAGTAATAAGGTTGTGCTTCTCGAAAAAATACACGGACAAGGAGGTATACACGACGTTTCGGGCGGACACCCTTCCAGTAATAGACGCGAAAGACGGCACTAAACGGGCAGGGGTCGGCCACGTCAGAAAAATAGGAGTAGGTACATTGGCCGAGAGGGAGGGGAAGGCGAAACCGTTAGAAGACGAAGTACTACTTCTTCGCCTATCATCTAACGCAGCTAAAAACGCGGTTAAAAAAGAAAGGAAGAAAGATGCAAAGCAAAAGCTGGGGCACGGGATCTCGAACTCGCCTTGCGGTGTCTTCCGCGAGAACAAGACACCCAGAATGGTCCACGGGGGTCCCCGGCCGCCACAATCACGACCACAACGGTTACGACGGGCGGACGCGTGGTTCGAATCGATTCGAGGAGTTTTCGGGCGGAAAGAAAACAAATTTCGAGCCGCAAATTGTGTTTTGGGTAGTTAGGCCCTCATCTGTCATGAGTGAATAAAAACCTTGGCAAGCATAAACACTCCATCAGTGTCCCTTTAAGAAGATTTTCATTTCAGTTGTCCCCAAAAGCTCTTGAACAAAAAGGGGCTACGCATGGCAAGATTCAAACAAAAAATATCACAAACGAGGTGACATTTGTACAAAAACGAGTGATATCAGCTTTTAGGTTCCACATTGGTCTCCTAAACAAGAGGCATGCACAATGGATATCATCTAGAACATAATTTTGCAATGCACTCAACTAAATTTATTTAACAATATTCTATGGTCATCTGATCTGATGTTTTTAATTTCACAGCATTCTATGCCTGCCATCGACGGAATGGACAACAGTGCCCAACTGGAAATGGCATCCTTCAGGGTTGCCGAGTTCTCCGAAGTCCTCGACTGGAGGCCCATGCTGTTCCAAGAGCCCATCATTGCAGAGAGAGCCTGTGTCTTGTGCGGTGTCGCGTACAAGAAAGCAGTCAGGCTTCCCTGCGTACACACTCTGTGCACAAAGTGCCATGCCCAGTGCGTCGAACGAGGAAGCGCTTGTCCTGTCGACCAGAAACCATTCTGCGAAGATGATGTTGAACAGCTAAACGTCTCTCTCAAGTATCTCCTGAACCGTACGGTGAGTTGCCATAACCTCTTTGCGACTGCTTTTACTTGAAATGCCCCATCTTCATTCCCGGCTCTCGATGTGACCGGAACTACCTACTTCACGTAACAGACTGTGCCCGCGTCATAAGTGAGCAGAGAGCAACAGTACACAACAACGATGGCAACATCAGAAGTAGGCCCGTTTATCGCTTACACATCTGATGTCAACAGCATTTGCACAACATTCTACTGTTTTTCGTCTTCAATTTTGAAACCGAACGAAACTACCACATTTTTGGCATATACATAGTGTGATCGAATCATGGCACACAGCGACCCCGGAAGAGTATTTTAAGTGGGGGGGCTAGCGGTCGAAATAAAAGGTGGAAGGGGGGGGGGGGGGGGGGGGAGGGGGGGGGAAAAATAAAAAAATTAAAATTGGAAAAAAAAAAAAAAAATTTACCAAGATTTTTTTGTTTAAAAGGTTTATTACCACTCTCTATACCGTGTGTCTATATGTTCATCCGAAATTCCCGTCACGAAGCAATAAGATGTTACCACAATCTGACCCTATTGTAGTAGCTATTAGCGGCGAGATGTTTTGGTGGCGCCCTCCTATGGTTCCCCCTTGTGACGTCATTACTTTGCGAACAACAAGTTCGATGGTGCTTGTAAATAGCATGGTGGAAGCCTGAAATCATTGCGCTCTCAAAGCGACACTGCCAACTCCGTCAAAATTAAAGCTCTTTCATTCCTCTTATTTCCGTCTATGGTATACCCTAGGGTGCCTTCATGTGCGCTCTGCTTAGGGTGGAGACATCTCGCCATTTTGTCCCACACGTTTATTTTTATTTTTTGTTCAGAAGTGTGTGAAAGAGCATGTCCCTGCACGCATTTCTGGCGCTGACTGTTATGGCGACATTTTGTTTTCGTCGATTTCTTTGTATTTTCCCCGTGAGCGCGTGCTGTCGGCATCGGGTACTACAAAGGGTGGCATCACCCTAAACAGAAGGACATTGAGGTACCCTAGTATACCCTTTTTGACGTCATAGTCAGCTTTTGGGCCAATCGTGGAAGGCCGACCACAGCGACGCTTTCGGTCGCGCACATCGCCAATACGGCGACATCGATCTACGGTGTCGATGTAAAATGCTGACGATTTCAACAAAGGTGTATTTCAATCGTGGACGCATTCCTGTGAAATTTCTCAGCACAGCTTCATTCCTGTCAAAAGTTATAACAATGCATTCTTGTAAGTTTCAAAAACGTTTACCTCCGGTGGACGCGGTCGTCCTTCGGGTGTAAACCTTCACTGGCAATGCCCTTTTTTATTTCAGCATGTTTCCCGTTTTTATGGTCGTATTTCAAGAGAGGGTAAAAGTGACCTAAAATATAATGGTGCTACAGTTACACAGGGAAAAAAAGTAACCCTGCGACAGTTAGTTACAAAATTTAAAGAGTAACTTGTTACAGTAAATTTACTTTGCTAAAGTAACGCGCTACTTTGTCGTTATATTACAAAAAATTATTAAAAGAAAAAATTTCAAAGGAATTTTCCTTAATGTGCATCTTATTTAACATATATTTTTCGTAAGACATTGTGTTGTTCATGGTTGTGAATCAGTTTTTTTGAGAAACTAAGATTTTTCTAATATCCAATATTAACATGTTTGATGCTTCCTAATTCAACTTTTACCTTGAATTTCTCCCTGAACGGGAAAATCCACTGTATGATAAAGCATTTAGCAGATACTTGCTGAGGATAAATAAAGAACTTTAAAATTAAGCGCGACCACCATAAGGTATACACGAATACAACAGTACGCGTCTAGGTCTCGGGTATATGCAATCATGGTGTGAGTTTATACATTCGGTCAATTCTAATTTCGGATTTCTTTGGTGAGACGAAACTGGGCAGAAGCAATAAACATCGTACATATCTCAAGTCAATAATAATATAAGTCATGCCTTGCAATCAGCTCTGTAGATGTGCCACGCCAATCCATTCGTCAATCGAATCGTTTTCTACAGCATGCGCGCAATCTTTCATGAAACACGAAGCTTCTCTTGAGCACTTGGAGAGCAATGTAGCGGCAACATGTCTTCGTTAAACCCGCTGAACGGGGAAGCGGTGCAAAAGAAGCACTGATCAAGGTACAAACGGCCACATGCGTGTAGAATTTCAGACGGGTTTCGCTGTCTTTTCTCCGCCACTTCCTAACCAGATTGGACATGTTTGCTTTCCATTGCAACTAGGATAGAGTCGAGACCAACCGGAAAGCCCACGACGTGAATACCTACAAATTAAGTGATGACAACTGCCGGTCTCGGTCAAGGGCGGTCTCTCAATTACAAGAAAACACACAAACTAGCAGAATGACACAGACGGTTCGAGCGAATACTCTTTCTCAAGTGACGGGACCCGAAAAGGTACGAGTGGGCGACGGAAGGCAAGGCCAATAATTGGGTTGCAAAAAGATGGGAGGGGAGAGCAAATGGGGCCTAAAGTCGAGACCGCACAAGAGTGCATCTGGGAGTTGGACGATTCAAATTAGAGGGGAAGGAGCCGTATGCTTGGCGGCAAAAGTCGAGGTTCAGAAAATCGGTTGTTCCGTAAGCCAACGGGCATTCGAAGCGACAACCACCAAGAACTGTCCTCCGCGAAAAGCATTTGCTTCCTCCGCTGGGCAAGAAAAAAAAGAAAACACTTTAGAGATGCCGCGCATTGTTAGATCCTCGTGCCGAGTACGTACACTAATGTTCCCATCATCCCAGTTGGCGAAACCAGCTTGGCGAAGCAGGGTTACCCCAAAATTCAGTAGTTTTTGCTGTGCCCTTCCCGTATCAGGACTTCAGACTCCCTCGTGAATTACGAGATGATTTGGCAGTCGTGTTTTCAATATTTCTGCGCATAAATCTGAGAAGTAACTGTAACGACATTACTCTTTGTAGTTACTTTCGAAAACTAATAACCCTTTTACAGTTACAAGTTATTTTCACTAAGGAGTAACGAGTTGCATTTACAAGTTACTGAAAGAAGCAACTAGTTCCCGGTAACAGGTTACTAGAAACTAGTTACTGCCCAGGACTAGAAAAGCATCCGGGTGTATAACAGGGTGCCCGCCTGAACATAGCAGGCTGGCTCGCCAGGAACCAAATGGGGATTCCAAAACCAAACAAGAAAATACAGGCGAGAATGCCACAATTTTTTTATGTCTTTGACGGCTACCGTGATAGCGGTGCTTCAACACTGACCGTAGTGCTGAAGCACAAACTCTGTCGCCTGCTAAGGCTTCCTCTTTCCTTCGGAGTTGGGATACTTAATTCCCTCAGCTTGCTACATCCGTAGGCAGTGCCTCGTTCAAGAAGGACTTTCGTCTCGCGCAGACCATCGCCCCACCTCATGCTTCGGCTCTTTCCACGGAAGCCATTACACGACCCTCGTGATTACTCAGACCGCCAAAACCACAACTATAAAACAAAACAAAACACTGCAGCCGCAAGACAAAAAACAAAACAAAAAAAAGCTAGAAGAAGTTTTTGGGAAACGTCACTGCTCAAAATAGAAGCACAATGAAGAAGCAGGCTGGCTGGTGGACAAAAACAGTGTCCTGCGCATTCCCTCACTTGGCCAACCCGCGAGAGCCATATGGGAAGGCCTCAGAAAAATGACCGAGGAGGGAAAAAGGAGAGGTCTCCCCGACTGCTAAAAAACATCACAAATGCCAACTTTCCTTTTTTTTCCCTACATTTTTTTTTTTTTTTTAGGTGTTGCGTTGTTTGCGGTTTACTGACACTTTGCTTTACTTCATCAATTTTTTCTGGAATTCGATGACGAAGGTCTAGCCGTCATTTGGTGAATAACCAGCCGTAACAAAAACAGAGCCACGGGGAGCTAAGCAATAACGGGAACTTAAGGGGAGGGGGGAGGGGCAGGGGTGCAGGCATTGTTTAGTACGTGTTGAGCCAAACGCAGGGGGCCTTAGCATACTGTCCAGCACCCCTGGAAAATGTCAGCGGGTGCTGAAGCCCTCGTTGCCGCCCCCGGTTCTGGGGTCCCTGATGGCACATTCTTTTTCGACATAGTTTGTGTATGTTTCCGTCTCCCAGGTCGCCTGCTGGAACGCTCCTAAAGGCTGCAGCTTCATCGGCACTGCAGCCAGCCTCTTGGACCACTACAAGGAGTGCGGCTTCAGCGTCGTGCCTTGCTGCCTGTGCCGCTCTTCAGTGTTGCAGTGCGACATTATGGAGCACTTTAAGAGTGGATGCAGCATTCGCGAAGCAAAGTGTGAGCCTCCAGACGATCTTGCCACAGAAGACCTCAAGGACGTCGGCAGTGCTTGTCTTGAGATGAAGAGAGCCACGGGGAAGATCTCTGAGGACCTCATGTCGCTGCAGACCAGCCTGAACCGGTGCAGCGAAGACGTCAGGGCGGAGGGTGCAAGATGCAAGGGCCAATTGGAGGCTGAGGCTTCCAAGCTTGCTGAACAGCTCAACAGCCTTAACACGGTCTGCACCACCGGTTTCGCCGAAGAACTGCAACTTCTCCAGGCAGCAATGACCGACTACAAAGGCCATGTGAGCAAGAAGCTCCGTTTGCTGTGCTGTTCTAAGCCTACAAGGGTCCACTGGTACATTGAGGGGTGGGCAGACCTTAAGAAGAAAGCACTTGAGGGAGGGTTACAACTGGATAGTCCCACATGGACCATTTATGATTATAGTGTCTCCCAACTTTTTGAACTTGACCTAGAGGAGGGTCAGGACCGCGTTGGGTGCTACATGAAGATATGCTCCGGGAAACAGGATCTGCAGCTGGAGTGGCCTTTTAGTAAGGTTTTCACGATTGGTGTTATTCACCCCAAAGACCAATCAAAGGTGATTTCGTACATGATAAATCCTGGTGACTGTAGAGATGAACTCCAGCGTTCCTTCCTAAGGCCCAAAGAAAGAGCAAATGTTGCATGTGGAGCACAGAACCTGACAACAGCCAAGGAGCTTGAAAAGGGTGGGTTTATACAAAGCAATACACTCCACATGTTTTTAGAGATAGAGCCGTAATTTCTTTTCATATTTGCCATACATTAATAAGGATTAAGCAAGTACTGTTTTGTTTAGCTTTGCAAAAAGAGCTTTTAATTTGTCTGAGAGCCTGATATAGGAAAAGCATTGCAACTGTTGTACTTTCCTTGCATGTAATATTACAGTGTATTGTTAAAAGAAAATATGTTGCTTTGTGAGTGGGTGTTTTAACTTGAATTAACCAGCCTACTTTTGTGAGAAGTCCAATTATATTTTTCAGCTAGCCAAAAGCCTGCATGAAGCACTTCTGCATCAGTACTTTTATCGTTTCATTCACTATCTATTTGGATCGTGACTAGTCAGTTGTCTAGCAAGCGGGAATTGTCAGGGAAATTTTAATCACCAGAAAAAATTAGGGAATTGTCAGGGATATTGTCAAAAATCGACCTTAGGGAAAATGACCCGGAAACGGCATCAAGTGCCCTGAGCAAAGACTTGAGGACTCAGTGGCAGAAAAATGGGCAATAAATTATGCTTAGAGCGGAGCGCGGGCCCTGCTCACCCAATGTAGAGTGTGCAACACCCTGCTAGTGGACAGCCTTTGGGCCTGCTTAAATCTGTATTACTCTTATTTTTGTTTTAGTTTGGGTTGCAGGTTAGTCAGATTTTGGACTTCACAGCTAATTTAGAATGCAAACAGTCGGGAGTGATATTTTAGTTATGCTTGTATAAATGTTGTTTATTTTGTTGGGAACTTCATTTTTTATAAAATCAGCTTTCGCATTGACTGTATTTAGTTGAGAAGTGTTTTTAGTTGTTCAACTTCATAGTGCTGTATGGTGTTACTATTATGGATTATTTCAGACACATGTTTAGAAAATCGTGCACTGTTATCCTTTCATATGTTGAGTGGCATTACTACTCAATGTACCTTTTCTATCTTCCATTGCACTATCTCACTTTCTGGATTATAGACTCTCGATGTATTTACCCCACTTGAAATTATTAAAAAAAAAGAGAACAATGGATAGAAACAAAAGTGACACCTGTTTATCGAAACCGATTGATAAATACTGAAATTCACTGCTTTTTAAGACTTCCCAATGACGTGCAGTAGAGCTCTGCACGGGGCCGTGCCAACTCAGAAACCCGGGCCCGACCCGGCCCACGATTCAGGCCTGGGCCGATTTTCGGGTCTGGGCCGGGCCCGGGCAATGGTGTAGTATACTCTCTAAAACGTTGAGAAGAAAATGCTAACGCGTTGATCGTTAAGATTTGAAAGAAACGAAAAAGCCACAGTGCAAACTCGCTACGACTCCACACACAAAAAAAAAATTTTAGAAATAAAGCAAGCTGTCATGGTCTAGGAATGCCCACAAGATACTGAGAGTTCTGGGTATTCCATCAGCATAGTGGACAGTGCGATTGTCTCTCCCTTTCCTTTTCAAAATCCAGAAGAAAAAAAAAAATAATGCCCTCTGGCTACCAAAGATAAGCTATGTCTTTCATATTTGTGTAAGCCTTCAGATGTTCACCACGTAACTGCGATATGACAGAGTCTTTCATGCAAATTGGCAAAAGAATGAAATGCACCAACACCTTCTCAGGGCAGCTTTGAACTTTAAGAAATGTGGCACGCTTTGGCCTCTCACTGGGCCGGGCCTGATCAGGTAGGCATCCCATCGGGCCGGGTCCAAATTGGGTAACACTAAGAGTTAGCGGGCCCGGGCTGAGCCGGGTCTCAAAAAGTAGGGTTCTCTAACATGCAGTACGATGGATGGATGTGCTGCTCAGAAGTAATTGGCAGGGATAAATTTGAGAGTTCTTTTGTTTTAGGGGCCTATTTCTTCAGTAATTCAGAAGCTTGTTGCGTTCCGTCTTGTGACATACCTTTCCTCAATCGCACGAGGTTTGTATTCGGAAATGCGCAAACTAACCTAATTTGTGTGCTGAAGAAATTTATTCAGCTGCCATCTGGACGAGTTTACATAATTTTGAAATGTCAAAAATGCTTCGAGGCTTCTTCCTGCCACCACTCTCAGGAGTCTGGGAGCAAGCTTCTCAAAGCGGTTGGCTGTACAGATTTTACCGACGTGCTAACGCAAGGCTAGTGCCCTCCTTAGGAGGCCTCTTATGCACTGAAACAAACAATATTGTTTTTACTCGAAGTGTTTTATGTATTAAGTTATGGAGACACCACCCAGGTATTTACTGCTGTCACATTATTGCTACCGAAAACAGTTATACCGAAATCAGAGTCCTGACACTGAAGATTGCGACTCCAGGAGGGCTGTGTTGCGCTTTTTGCACTCCCAGGATACTTGGAAGAGGGAAGTGACGTCAACGACACAGCAAACGCAGATTGGATGTTGACAGAAGAAAACGAAATCAACACCCAATCTGCATTTGCTGTGTCGTTGACGTCACTTCCCTCTCCCTAGTCTCTTGGGAGTGCAAAAAGCGCAACATAGCCCCCCAGAAGTCAGGCTTATACCGCCGGTGGTGGTTGCTTGTATAACTCAAGCAAAGACAACAGCAACAAAAGACTATGTGATGGCCTTTACAAAGACATTTTACTAGTTATTTACGTTTATTGAAGTACACCACTTGCAACCTCTGCTCCGTGATGCTGGGATCAATGCTCTCCGGGTTCGAGGAGGATCAATGCATGGGATGATAGCGAACTTCAGTGAACTTTACCCCGAACTTCTTCCAGGACGGAATGCGCAGAGTTCTCGGCGCATCACTCATAGATGAACCGTTCGCATTAAAACGATACCTAGGTTTGTTTTCGGGCCGCCTCAAGAAATATGCTTGGTGCCACTCGTTCTACTTTAACCACCCTCGTTGCAAGGCTCTCCTTCCTCGTTTTTTCAGGAACTGTATGAAATTCCGGCTTCTTATGGAGCATTACTGATTTACTCCTATATGTGGCGAATTAAGATATATGTAGATAAAATTTAGAATAGCCTACGGTTTCTTTTTTTAATACTTTTTTTTTTTTTAAGACGTACACGTTTTAAACACCAAAAGCATCGTGTCTTCCTTCGTCAGCGAAATCTTGTAAGAACGGTGCAGCGCATAAATACTGCGGAAAACTTACCTTTTTTTCTTCTTTTCTTGCTGTGACAACGACATTATAGTTCACATGCCGCAAATCGTGACAATTCCTTCGAACCGTTCTCGCGAGTTCCTGTGCAATTCGCGCGCGCACGCGCTGTGGTGCTGGCGAGTCGGTCGGCGACGAACCGTTCGCATCGAAACGACTCACTAAAACTTCCTAACGACTGCCTAAGCAACGAAGGGCGGGGCTTATGATGTGGACGCTTTTTGTGTCGTGATATGTCCTTCGGCGTTCTGATTAGCTGCGGTCGAAATCTGGTAAGCTGCGGAGCGACAAATGTCAAGAAATTAATTAGTCTTTCATATTAAACTTGTTATATTTTAGATAAAGATAATAGGATGAACAGGTTTTATAGACTTCCAGTCTCCTTTCGGCGTTTGATTTTTCTGCGCTTTTTCTTCTTGGCCTTTGAAAGGTATTTCGGTGGCGTCTTTACACACTCGCCGCCGAGACATATCTGTGGAAGAACGTAAAAAAAATGTAATGACTCAAGGAGGAAATTATGAAATGCAAAATATAACGAACCGGAGCAAAAAGAAAAAAAAAAAACTAAATGTACAACAGTTTTTTTTTTTTTTTTCTTTTTTGCGGTGTGCCTAGATTACGGCAAAGACAAAAAAGGAGTTTTCGTAAATAGGGAGTTTTCGTAGACCGCGTTGCCCCTTCCGCTAAGCGTTCCGCAACGAAGAAGTTGCTACTGCGCCCGCGCGCCGATAGCCTTTATGGTGGAGTTCCCGCTATCGTAGCGGGTTGCGGAGGGCCTTGCGGGACGGCGAAAACGATCTACGAAAACTCCCTAATGTTTTCGCCGTCCCGCAAAGCTCTTCGCAACCCGCTACGACATTTGGAACTCTACAGTCAAGGCCATGGGCGCGCAGAAGCAGTAGCGGCTTCTTCGTTGCGGAGGGCTTAGCGGAGGGGGAAACGCGGTTTACGAAAACTCCCTAATAAGTTGGCACACGGGTTGGTCCCGGACTCCGAATTACATTTATTCGGGCAGCATCTTCTTTAATTTGTGATGATTCGTGAGGGATTGAAACATAATATACTTGGGACGAACAGACATAGTGGCACATGCCATTTTATAGTTTTGGATTGAGTACCTCGATCTTTGCCTATCCCTCGTCAATAGACTGGAGTGCAAGTTCGTCTGCTTCGTTTGCAGGGGTTGTGGTTACGTCAGAACGCCGACCTTGGATTGGTTCTGAATGAAGAATAGTGGGTAGACAGCTAGCTTCGACATCTACCCACTATCCTTCAATCAGAGCCAATCAGAGCTCGGCGTCTTTCTGACGTCATCGCAACTCCTGCAAAAGAAGCAGACGACTTGCTCTCCGCATAGGATGGATGGATGGATGAATACGGCTGAGCCCTCTGGATCGGGCGGTAGCTTACGCCACCTAGCCATTTTGTTTTACCATTTAAGCTTAGAATATTTAAATGTGAAATCTATATTCACTCCGCAGTGCAAAGAAAGTGAGGCTGTGAAACCCCCTTGCCATCAGTGGATAAGAAAAAACCTAGTTTTCTAGGTATTTTCTACATAGTTTTTGAAAGTGCGCGCCATCTATGATCTGTTAGCTGAGACTGAAGCCAAGCTACACGCGCTCGTGCTCTCGTGATCGTAGCATTGGCTGTTGTCTCGGTCGACGTTACTAGATTAGCTCAGTCACGAAACTGTCCATAGACACTGCTTTCACGAGCAGTACCCACCTCTCCACCCATGCCACGCCTCCTGCATAGCCTCCCGGCGTTCGACGCGCGACCGCTATGTAGACGACCACTATGGTAACTGCATGTATTCTATGGAATCACGGCCCCCGAGAAACGACGCGCGGTTTTGGAGGCCAAGATGGAATACCCATGTTTTGAAGTACAGCCTGCACAGCGTCTGGGTGGCTATCACCGTACTCTATGAAGCACACCGTTCCGAAGCGAAAAATGAGATGGCGCTACAAACGATAGGAGGCTAAAGGTCCCTCGATGTGTTTGTCTTTGTCTTGCAAGACGCGTCAAATGCGCCAGTGCACGAGGCCCGAGTCCCGAGCAGCCCTTGGAAGCAAATGGCGGCGGAGCACCCGCTCGTGGCACGTGTCCCGCGCGTTTCCAAAATAAGGACTGGCGGTGCTTGTAAAAAAAGCACCTTTATCAAAGGGCTTTACGGGAGGCGGACTGAAGGGGTTGGGGAAGGGGGAGGGGGAAATGTTACTCCCCATCTAGAAACAATGATAAGTTCTTAAAAAAACAAAACAAAAAACGTTGGGGGTGAATTTTAGCATATTTTTGTCTTGTAAATTTAAATATCACAAGCATTTGACCCGTACTTATCAATAGATTGTTATGGTTCGGCTATTGTCATTGCAGCGATTGGACACGGGCCACTCACTGCCCGAATGCTTGTCGAGCTATTGATTATCACGAGCAAATTCACTGCTCGCGCAATGCTCGGGCTCAATTTATGAGCCGCACTCAAATATCGTCACTGGGGGGTACTGCGATTCCCCAGCTACGTCATCAAGTTTTACGAAGAAGAGATTGAAAGAAAACGCTCGCTTTTGTCCTTGAAATGCATTGCAACGAAGGAGTTTTTTGGTCAGTGGAGCTGCGTGCGAGTGTACGAGGGTCGCACTAGTGCCAGTAAGCTCGTGTAAAGGGGAAAAAATCCCGAGGACACCTAAGCACTTCTTATGAGTTGTGAATGCGAAAGCATTAATGTGTCCGCAGCGAAGCTACCGGTCTTCAAACCATAGGGCGCCCTATGGTTTGAAGACCGGTGGCTTCGCTGCGTTTCAATAGGAGCTAAGCCTTTTTCTTTCTCTACTTTTTCCTCAGGTAAACTCGCTCTTTGCGAATTTTATAGAAACAATGCACCATCTTTGACCAACGCTGTACAAAATCGGAACGCGATAGGTTAAGAAACCGAATTTTTCGGTCAATTTAAAGAGCCTGGCCGCTCCTTGAATCACCCGATAGATTAGATATATGTTATCGTATCAAGACGTACGCGTTTGAAATGCCAAAAGCATCGCTTCTTCTTCCGACAATCAAATCTTGTAAGATCTACTTCGCGGCGTATAAACAATGCGCGAAACGTGTTTTTTTTTTTTTTTTTTTCTTTCTTGAGGTAAAAACGAGTAGGTTTCGGTTTCCTATCGAGCAAGGTCGTTTAGGTTGAGTCGCCATGATGGCGTAATTCCTCTTCCTCGTAGCAGGAAAGAACCGCGTGGCATACGGGCGTTGCGCGCCTCAGCCACAGGGTCAAAAAAACGCCACCTAGAATAATCAGACTCCACATCGCCTCCTCTCCCTTCATAAAACGTCATCACAGTCGGAGGGCGCTAACTCGGTTATTGGGCCCGAGTCCCACCTTTGACGCGCTGATTGAACACCAGCCCCGGCCGAACACTGACGCAGCACCCGTGCCCAATCACAGGCCTCGATCGATCTGACTGTCATGGCGGCGGTGAGGAGTCCTGCTTATCTAGGTGGTGTCGGTCGAAACCGCTGGCGCAAAGATGGGCGTCCAAATGAAACTTTTTTTTTTTTTTTGGCGGCCCGGGGGAGGGGGGGGGGGGGGGGGGGGTTGCAGTAAAATGCTGTACCAGCCTTCTAGATTTTTCAAACAAATTGATAATGTGGCTTTCGATTATGCTCAGCTAGTTTCTAATTGAAACTATACCCTATAAATTCACGAAATAAAAAGTTATACTTACTCGAACTTAAATAATAACCTAATTATACCAAACGCTATTAATATGACCTAATGGGCCATTCGGCAGAGACCAACACGGCACTACCTTTTTTTTTCAGTTCGGTGCATATTTTTCGCAGTAACGATTTGGCTCACGTTGCGTGACAACTTTCCCTAGATGGCAGCACATAAACGTGACTGTCATGTACTGTTCCGCTCATCAAGGTCATGATGTTTTAGTTTTACGAAACGAACAATTCTTCGAGGGCTTACCTTTCCTCTTCCACATTGCATTCCATCCCAGAGATTCTCATAAGACCAGAAGTGGTTATTATTCATGCAGTACGCTCTACAGTCTGGATAATTTCCCGTGTCCTGAGGAAAAACGAGACGATAATGCTGTGTACTACAGCATGTCGAGTCGTCATACTGCCAGTCCTATCGCCTTACTACACAAAACCTTTGAGCTAACTTTAACGCCACATTCTACGCAGGTGGAATCGAACGGGCAGCCTAAAAGGCGTATTAATTTATTATTAATAAATATTAATAATATTTAATTTATATTACATATGTACGCTAAAGAAAGCGAGACTTTTAGGCCCCTAACCGACATGATGTGGCAAAGGCTTAAAACACTGATTAAAGCAACAAGTTTCTATATCAGTTGAAATTAACATTAACGGTCGTATAATATCGGGCACGGATATGGCGAATGCTTTTAATAAATATCTTGTAAATCATCCCACATCTTCTGTTTCTACTACTAGTGTAAATAATGCACTTTAGAGCATGCCCTCAACCTTGCCTAATTCTATATTTCTTTTTTCCACTGATATATCCAAAGTCTATTATACATTCATGAGCCTAAACACTAGTAAAAGTATTGATGCATACAATATGCAGATAAATCAAGCAAAGTATGGTTTAGATATTTCAGCAACATATCTAACTGAAATATTCGATCTTACACTTCCGCCCGGTGAGTTCCCTTTTAAAAGGCAAATTGCCACAGTTAGTGTGTTACATAAAGGTGGACATTTAAATAGCATTAAGAACTTTTGGTCAATTTCTATACTTTCAGTATTCTCTAAGCCAATCGAAAACTAGTTTCAAATTGAATTGTCTCTCATTTTGAAAAATATTTTTTAATTCCGAATTCCTAATTTGGTTTCCGTAAAAGTTATTCCACCAAGTTAGCATTATGAAAACAAAAAGAAATAAAGCAGCCCCAGATAATCACTTATTAACAATCGGTATACTTTTAGATTTCACTGGAGACTTCGACACAATAAATCACAATGTCTTGATAGAAAAATGAGAATACTATGGTGTTCGTGGGAAAACATTAAATTATTTACAGTTTTACTTACAAAATCAAACTCAGTTTGTGTCTATATTGAACTTTAAGTCATATATTCCAAAAATAATAAATGGTGTGCCCCAAGGCAGCATTTTAGGCCCCCTACATTTTATTCTTTGTACCAACGATATTGTAAATGTAAATCATGATCTTCAAATTGAGTTTATTATATATGCTGCTAACACCAGCATCTTTTTTTCTAATAAACATATCAGTTCTCTAGTACCTAAATGTAATTGTGTTCTTGATCGTGTTGAAAAATGGACAAAAGACAATCACCTTAAAGGGATACCACAACGAAATTTGAAATATATCCGTCGTGTTCAAAAATAGGTTGAATATGATCCACAATATCCGTAAATGACAATCGCACGTTTGTATTTTGAGCCTGGTGGCTGTATTTTTGGTTATAAACGGCCCACTCTAGCAAGCGCTCGGAGAAGGCCCAGCTTAGAGCAGGTGACATACGACGCAATCGTGACGTAGGTCGTCTCAGGACGAGCAAAGCTACGGCGAGCCTGACATCGAGAGGATGGCCTAGTCGTTCCAGCCACCGAAGCGGCTGCTTTTGCATGAATTTTGAGTGACGGGTTAATCTTTTATAATCTTGTAGGGGGACAATAGCGACTTCTGGAACACACAAAAGGGATTCTCGGGAAGGCGGGAGTTCCTCCTTCCCCTCTTCTCTCGTCGTGGCCGGAGGCGAGACAACCTCCGTCACTAGCTGTCAAGGTTCCTAGACGGGCATTACAAGCGAGGCGTTAGTGACATCCACCAGGTGCTCTTTGCTAATGGTTTAATTCGTTTTAAAATTTCTTTTCGTGACTTTTTTAACAAAATATTTGTGTGTTCGATGTGATACTGCTCCTTTGAACACACATGGACCATAAAATAAGTACCGAAATTTCGTTGTAGTATCCCTTTAAGTTAAGTACGTAATAAACTAAAGTCGACATGCTCCAGTTATGATCACAAACCCCCTGATTTTAAACAACGAAGAAATTTAATTTTATAAAATTAATTTTAATAAATTGAATTTGTCGACACTATTAAGACTTCGGGCGTTTGGTTTACAAATAGTATGTCTTGGAATAAGCATGTAAATTACCTTTAGTCTAAACTGTCGTAAACAGTGGGGTTGCTGACCAAATTTAAATCATTGTTATCGCGTTGTGCTAAGCTTGAACTTTATAATGCTTTGGTATATTCGCAACTTAATCATTGTCTAAAGAACAAAAAAGCGCAAAAAAAAAAAAAACAAAAAAAAAAACACGGACGAAGAGGAGACAGAAACGACACGGACTGGCGCTGTATGTGTCTCTTCTTCGTCCGTGTTTTTTTTTTTTTTTGCGCTTTTTATGTTACTAGATCGAAATGAACCAACTATTGCAACCAAAAGTTTTAATTATTGTCATCTAGGTTGGGGAAATACTTATAACAAAAACCAATACAAGTAAACTACATAGTTTACAAAAGAAAGCTGTGCGTGTTATTGCCAATGTTTCATACTGTTACCATACTGAACACTTATTCTCATTGTTTAATATAAAACCGATTTCAAATATTTACATGTCCCGACTTGTGGCGTACGAGAAGTGTACGCAGTTTAAAAATAAAGTTTCTGAGGAACTATGTAACTTTGCCCTTTTTCCTTCCTCATATCAACTCCGCCCTGAAAAAAATGGGGTGTTTCACCACCACATACATTATACTACAACCACACAGTAAATTACCAATTAACTACTTTATTAAATAAATTATTTTTAAAATGAGTTCCCATTTTTTCTTCATTTTGTACAATTTGTTGTCCGTACATTTAAAATGATGTCCTTTCTCTCAATGAACCTATTTTGTTCGTTTTCTGAAATTGTGTTGGAATCGCCTGCCTCTAAAGGAGGCCAGGACCTCCGTCAAGCTGCTGCAGTAGCTTTTTGCCTTGGTCCCCCGTTCCAGTGATGAAACAAAATAAAGTTCTCCGACAGGTGTGCTTTCCACGTCCAACGAAGTGGTTCCCCGAATTCCGTTAAAAGTGTCGTGCTGTCTCCGGTGGCGATCCTGGTGGTCAAAACAGCGGTAGTGGATGTGGCAGGCGCCCGTTCTGCTGAAGGTCGCTCTTCAGCATGGCAGTCCACGGAAACTTCGGCAGCCACGGGTTGGGACGCCGCGACGACGGCGACCCTCGCGCTTCCTGGTGGTTTTCGCCGGAACTTCTACGGTCAACCGCCAGGATCGCGACGTCCGACAGCACGACACTCGGGTTTTTGTGAGGTCAGTTGTTGCCACTTCGGGATTATTTTCGACCTACAATTCAACTTCGCATGGACCATTCCAATATTTGCCACCGTGATTATTCCAATAATCGCGGAGGATTGGAATAAGAATGGTCAGTAGACAAATATGGCGGCGCGTAGAAAGCGTGCCGCCATCTTTGTCTACTGGGTTATGGAACGCTTTCCGAGCATGGAACGCATTCCGAGCAAAACATCACACGCCACGCTCCTCACATATTTCACAAGTTCGGGTGAAGAAATGATGATAATAATAAAAAGCAAAACTACGAGCCTAAATTGGTATGGATCCCCCAATGATCCAACCCAACGCGAATAAGTATAACATAAAGCCGGTTTCATTTCTGGAACATCCATGTACATTGTGTGAAAGGTTTCAAGGTACTGGAGAAAATAGAGCCCGATTTCTTGGCCCGCATAAATCGCGTTGCTCAAAGCTGAAGCACCGTGGAAATGTGACGCTAGCACATTGCACTACACAATGCTAAAGCTCAGCATATAACGTTACCTAAATGAAAATATTTAAAAAAATATTCCCCACGAGTCGGCGTCCACCGAATCCTAATGCTCATCAAACCAAAATCTAAGTTTGTGGGTGCCTTTAGCATTTATTTCGGTAAAACTCTTCGCAGTTCCAAATACGATATTATTTTATTTATTGCAGGCGAGTTTTTTTCCGCTGACAGAATTGCTACATGCACCTGCAATCTTTAATTTCGGTTTGATGAATATTAGGCTTAGTAGCTACATCGGCTCACAGAGAAATTTTGCGTTTCTTTCCGTATCTTTTGATCCACGTAACGCCATGCGCTCAACCATTCGCACTTTATCACCCCCCATATAGCGTCACAATCTCATGAAGTTTCAGCTTTCCGCGATGCGTAGTGTCGCAGAAAGCTGGTCGAGAAACCGGGTTTCATCATCTTGATCTAACCCCTGTAGGATAAGAATGCATAAACATCTTTGTTAGGCCTATTGCAGTTAATACGCCTCGCAAGTGGGCTCATTTTCGTCTTCTGCGCATGAGAAAGGAAGTAGCGGTGCCGTCAGAACGCCGAGCCCTGATTGGCTGATCGCGGCCCCCTATCTGAGTGTCGTCTGCTCCTTTGCAACGTCGTCTGCGTCTGTCTTACCTTTCCTGCGACTGTCGGAAGTGCAGTCTTTACGAGCGAGCTCGACTTCGCCTTTCACAGAGGGCAGACGAAATAACTCGAGCGGTACGTTGTTTTTGTCTAACAACTAGCAGACGCGCACCAAGGAGGGAATTCAAAGGACTCACTGCGAGGTGTCCCGAGGCGCCGAGGTTTGTTTACTAAGAACAGGGAGTGAGCGTGTTAGTGTCCGCAAGTTCCCTCCCAAATACTTTTCCGCTCCTTTCGTGTGCGGCGAGACCCCTCATTCTTTAACGGCGTCGGCGGGTTGGCGCAGTTAACGTCGTCTGCTTTACGTCTGCTAGTCAAAGCGTTGGCGGCTTTACCTTTCCTGCGTCTGTCGGAGATTCACCACTTTTTCACCGGCGAGAGTCACCGTTGCCTCGGGAAACAAGGAGATAACAAGAGGAAGAAATTGACCTCTTAATCCAAAACTGAGGTCAGCGATCAAAGTATAATACGGGAAGGGTTCACAAGGGTCGCGCGGGCATATTCCATTCAGCACACCAGCCGGTCGTGGGCAGACGGTCGCCGAGTCCCGGAGTGCCTGCTAGGCCTAACTGCCGTGCTCGCTTGGTCGCGTTCGGTGCAATCGTGGCCGTTGGAGCTTTTTCCGGGTGTTTGTGGATCCAGCATCCTTGTTCGTCGTCGTCTGTTTCAAGTACTTTTTACTTTTTTCTTGCTGCTTGAAGTCGGGACGCGTGAGAAGCGTACGTAGAAAAATAAACGTCCGTGGGTCGTCGCGACCAACGGTGGTCGCGACCGCGACGCTGTCGGCCAAGCTTATTTGATCGTAAGAAGTGCGTAAGACACCTTGGTAAGACAGTTTCAAAGCTGTCGTAGGATTTCGTCGTAACCTGCGCAAAACTTACGAAAATTTCGTTTCGTGGATACAAATTTGTTCTTAAGTTATGGCTTACGCACATTTTTGGCGTAAGATCGTTTCGTGAATCTGGCCTCTGCACTTACGAAAGTCGCAGGAAATGTAAGACAGACGCAGACGACGTTGCAAAGGAGCAGACGACACTCAGATAGGGGGGTCGCGATCAGCCAATCAGGGCTAGGCGTTCTGACGTCACCGCTACCCCCTGCGCAAGAAGCAGACGAACTTGCCCTCCGGATAACTAACCGTTTTTCTTACTGTCATAAGAATAGAAAAACACATATAATTTAAATGGCGCAACGAAAAGTAATAACATCTTAAAGGCCGACGTACACTTCGCGCTTTTCATTCTTGCCCGCATCCTCGTTTCTTATATCCTCTCCCCTTCGTACCTTGCTCCAACTTGGCTCAACCCTCAGCTTAGGAGAGAGGAGCGCTAAGAGGATTATCTTCCTTGCAGAAAACCGATTTGTACGTCGGCCTTTAACGAACATGTGAATCCAGTGGTTGGTTAGGAAAAGCAATCGGATTTCACCAATCTATACTAAATAATTATTCCTGTGTATGACGTCATCGTTAGTGGATTTCCGACCCGCCCCAAGTGGCAGACTCGCTGAAGCTCCACGTGAGCCGCCGCAAAATGGCAGACGCGGCGACGTCTTGGCGTCGCCGCGTGCTACCCTTGACGCTCGCTGTGAGGCGCTGCAAGACGCGCTGGCGGCGACGCTGACGCAAGTTGGGTGGCGCTACATGGGTCCACTATGTGATGACGTTTGGGATGGGAGGGAGGGCAAAGGGGGAAGACGGAAGTCGTCCTTTGATTTCCCCTTACTCAATAAAAAAAAAAAAAAATAACGCCACGCTCTTATGCTGTAGTATGTTCTTACCAGACCACTGTCTCCTCCTTCGGGGTAGAGCCTCTTACATAAAACCGACTTGCTCATTCCGCTTCCCGGAAGGTCTTTGATATCCTTCAGGTGATTGATTTTTGATTTCACCTCAACGCACTCTTCGGGCAGGGACCTATATCCAAAGTTTAGAGATAGAATCAAAATGTATTGCTGAGTTTTCTTTTCTTCGTGGAACGACACACTACTTAAACTTTCACAAAGATTGCTCAAAGGACCAATTACTAACGTATCTACATTTCGTCTTGCGGCTAAGTGCCAAATCACGATTAAGAAGGAGCTGATAGCACAAGAATCAAGTAAAAAAAACTACACCCACATCGCTTGAAAACAAAACAAAAAAAAAAAAATAAAGAAAACTGGCTGCATGTTTGGTAATTTTGCCGAACGCGTTTAAATGGTGCTCTACGTTCGGGTGGGTAGGATGTCCCTAAATTTTTCAGTGCCCGGGGTTGGTGCTGCCATAGCTTCCTATGGCAGCACCAACCCCGGGCACTGAAAAATTTTCGAGGGAAAATGAATCAGCGACATGAGATCACAAGGGCGCATGCCATTTCTAGCGCTTGAGACACTGGGACGGGACTCGTAGCCGGTTTCCCGCGGGCCGCGTCCCAGCGAGTTGCGGGACGCATGAGGCCCGCGGGCCACGTGTCTGAGACCCATGATCTACACAGTGGTGTCTGGTGTAAAAGGTAAGCGATTAATTGTTCTTACAAGCTCATGCATTTAACTTGTAGAGATGCAAAGCCTGTCTCTATTCTCTTTTGGCCCGAAGCCCATGCATTTCACTGTTCTCTTAAGCGCGAATGGAGGTCTTTGACGTCATTTTTGTTGCGTGTGCTCGCGCACACCGGCGGCTGCTGGCTCGTGGAAAGAACGTGCGCCACTCTGACACGCCGAAAAAATTCAAACTGCCCGCCAGTGCCCTGTGACGTAACAGTGTACCGCAAGGTGTCGGGGCGGTCAGAAAGGAGCATCAACCTACGTCACTAAATTGTGTTCTCCGGAAGTCACGTGAGTCACTCCTCGTGCTCCCCACAAGCGTGCCTACGACTTTTTTTTTTTTTTTTTGCCTTCTCCACGAGCGATTGTAGAAAACGATGTGTCGGTTCCACTAGCTTTTCATTATTGCACCGTTGTTTAGTTTGCGCGCTGTAAAGTTGAGGACGAAGAGTCAGTAGATGGACGTGATGGAGGTCAATGATGAAAGCGTTGAGAGTACAAGCCAGTGTCCGAGTTCATGCCATCAGTCCGATTGTGCCATACTGGGCACAAAACACGCTATCGAGTTTTGAAAAAAAAAAAAAAAATAGAACGCTCGCAGAGGTTAGGATGTGTAGCATACGACACGCCCGATCGCATTGCAGAAAGTTCAGACACCGAGGTCGTCGAATCTTCGGATACTCTCCGGGCTGAAGATGTTTGCCGTCTAGACAATACGAACTCGTGAGTGTACCAAGTACAAGTAAACGTCTAGCATAAAGTACGTGTTTTGTCTAGAACATGAGCAGAACTTGTTTACTAAGTTCACTGACTCGTCTTCTTCTACCGTTACAGCAACATTAGGCGATGAAAAGCAAATAAAAGAAACCTTGTATGCTTGGATTGCTCGCGGAGGTGCCGAGAATAACAAAAATATATAAAAAAAAGGTATTACACGCAGTTGCGGTAAGCAGGAGGAGTCATACAAGTAACGTGACTTCCGGTGATGCCCTCCTTCTGACCGCCCCAACCTCTTTGCGGTACACTAATACGTCACAGGGCATTGGCGGGCACTTTGAATTAGCTTCGTATTTCTATTTTTTATAAAAAACAAAAAAAAAAAAACTACGCAACTCTAAAGTGAAACAATTCTTTGGTGATATCACTGATCTCTATGACAATTGCTGGATCGCGTTTGCCCGCTCCGCGATTGCGGTCACTGGCGGCCATCTTTAGGTAGAGTTATATCACCTCTAGCCAATGTAAGCTGCTGCAGCCGCTATCATCCATCCATGGCAGATAGCGTTTTGGCAGGTGGGTTGGCAGGCTGCGGTCAAAATAGCGTGGGTGATATTGCGTGCTTGATTAAAATTATTTGACGAAACATGTTTTTGAAACCCGGCGTGAACAGTAGTCCGGTTTCTGAGGACCTGGTAAAAGTTTCACGAAATCGAAGCACCGGGAGAAAAGCAGCACAGCACGTATCGAAAGTCGCATCGAAAGAAGCATCGAAAGCAGACGACGGTAGGGAGGCTGCTTTTGATGCGAGCTGCGCTGCTTTCCGCCGGTGCTGCGCTTTCGTAGAACTTTTTTCGGGTCCTCAAAGATGAGGCTACTGTTCACGCCGGGTTTCAAAAATCTGCTTCGTCGAACAACTTCAATCAAGCACGAAATGTCACCCACGGTACAGTGTACTAGATCTACGGCTATTTTTGTGGCAGCCTGCCGCCATTGCGCTGTCCGCCATATTACTACGATGGCTAGAGATGATATAACTCTACCTAAAGATGGCCGCCAGTGACCGCATTCCGGTCCATAGGAGGAGCTGGTCAAACGCGATCCAGCAAATAGACATAGAGATCAGTGGGTGATATCCTGATACACCATTTTAACGCCTAGCATGAAAAGACAAAACTTCAATTTTTTCAGGATTAAATATTAAAAGATTTGCCATACAACTATCAAGTATACACGACGTATCATTCTGAAGAAGCACACAATCATCCCTCAAACATATTCTCAAAAAGATTTTTTTTTTTTTGTTTGGGGGGGGGGGGGGGGGGCGTGTCAGAGGTTCTTTAAGGGCCAAATGAACAATAATTCATAAAGTGCGTCTCAATGTAGCTTAAACTAAATAACTCGCCGAAGACACTTATGACTGCTTACCTGTAGGAATGCTAAAGCATTCCTACACGCAGGGCATTCCTCCACGCAGCGCTTCCTTTTGCACACGGCGCTCCGGCGGTCATATCACGCTACCCCTCTGCGCAAGCGCGGCGTACAACGCCGGCTTCACGACGACTTCCGTGGCGAAGCATCTGCGTTGCTGTGCTTTTCTTGGTGTTTTATTTCTGAGCCGCATCCACTTTGACCTCCAGCGGCCCCGCCAGCTTGCGTGACGAAGCATCTGCGGCGCTGTGCTTTTCTTGGTGTTCTAGTTCTGAGGCGCGTGCTTGATGACGTATTTTTATGGCTTTCTTTCGGGGACAACGCCAAAGCCTTTTCGCGTAATGGGGCAAGTGCTTCGTCCCTTTACGACAGCCATTGCGTGTTAAGCGCGAAACACATGCACGACGAAACCGTCCGATCCGACGTCCGACCACGCAATACGACGGTCGGAGGCGAGGGTTTTCAACGCTCTCCGATGCTACGAAAATCCTCGACCTCTAAGGTCATTCCGGCAGTCCGCACGTCAGATCGGAAGGTTTCGTCGTACATGTGTTTCGCGCTTTATGCATTACACACGGCTCGCAAAGAGAAGCGATGACGATACAACTGGGTCCAGGGACAGGCGAAGAAACAGAACTTCCCCACCTTCTTGGGCCTTTGCCAACTTCTGAGGATGGACATAAGGCCCCGATGCACCGGTTAATTACGTTCCTTGTACTCGTTTCTTCAAAGTACTCAAAGTTTGGTGTAACTAGCTAGTGCGAACTCTTTTTTTCTTTCTCTATCTTTTTTTTCTGTGCGTGTATGTTTGTGCGTGTGTGCGTGTGTGTGTGTGTGGGGGGGGGGGGGGGGGGGGGGGGCTTCTCTGCCTTTTGTTTTTCTAGTACCCAACCCTACTATTTTCTTTCTGCTTTGCGAAGTAGCAAACCACCTCTGAGAGCAGGTTGACCTATTTGTGTTTGTAAATAAACAACTTTTCCCCTCACGCTCTTCATGGAATCTCGGCTTTTGTACGTTTAAGATACTTACTTCATATAATTACTAATCATTGTTTTTGAGCAACTTGAAAACGAGTTGCCTGGAGGAGGGCGAACGAAAGGGACCATAATATATCCTCCATTGGGACCACACGCAATCTCGTTCTGAACATCACCATCGTGAAGACTGCCGCATCTGAAAGTCGCCAGAATGGAAAAAAGATGTTACGAGTTTTTAACGAAAATCAACATTCATGGTTTCTAATTTAATATCACTAACGTACACAGCGTCGGTAGCCGCAAGCTCCATATTATCCGAAACGTATGGCGCGCCACGTACCACAGCAGGGCGCGCGTGCGCAGCTAATGTGACAGCGCATCCACACTTTGGTGACAGCAAAGCAATGATTTCGGCTGTTGTCGGCATAGGCATACAACAAAAATAGAATCGGACACGCCGTGACGCAACCTTTACAAGCTGTCATATCAAGCACCAGGCTTGTGTCTGAATATTTCAAAGATTTATCTTTCAAGAGTGGCTGGAAAATATCGTGACCCTTTTTTCCAAGTGAATTCTTCCCTCATAACTGGCTGATCTTATGTTGGCGATCACCTTGCTCCCGGTTCCTTCTTTGAAGGCTACTTTAGTTTCCGGGGAATGTGTTTTTCGCTCAAACTGACTGTAGTTTAAAGACGTCGTAGCAGTAGCTTGTCGCAGGTTATGCTCGTTCAAGTCGATTGAATATGCTGTTCTCTTTTACACAGAAAACAAACAAACGTCTCATGAATGAACTTTCCCCATGAAGTACGTGCGTTTTCATTTCTTGAGTAGACTGTTTCCTCGCAGCGGGGACGATGTTAGAACCGCATAGACAAGGGTCAAAATAAAGCAGATACAATGGCAGGTCAAAATAGGGCAGCTGTCAGCTATCTATCGCGCTACAGACGCAAACGGCAGTCCGCTCTGCGACCGGCGAAGCGGAAAAAACCATCACCCCTGTAAACGTCAACCAAACGTCGTTCGATCGAGATGTGTGCGTGGAGCACAGAACAGTAAGAATGTCAAAGAACTGATCTAACTCTATGGAGTCATCGCATCGAACCAAAACACAACGTCGCGCTTCGAGCGCATTAATTCTACATATCGAGTCAAATAATACACTTAGAAATCAATCTCAAGACACGTAATGTGAACGGATATGCTAATTAGTTTTACATTTTACGGCATTCATTAGTTTCCGACGACGTAGTACTTAAAAAAATAGAGTCCAGGCGAGCTGGTGTGAGTCGAACTTGGGGGCAAAACTTAGACTGGGTTAGGAACACGGAAAAAGCAAAGGAAGACAAAAAAAAAAAAAGCAACGTTTTTTTACGGCCTCGACGGGAAACTACTACGGAGCTTCACACCTGCTAAGCTTTCGGCGTTGCGATGTAGCGGTAACCGAGAATGCCTAAAACTTCGACGTTTGCTCTTCTGGGACAGCTGATAGTAATGTAAATATTAAAATACTAAAAACGCTCGAATAAACATCTTACAAGAGATGCATGAGCAGTTACACCAGCAAGCAGGCTGGCGAAGGGGCCTTCCCAGTGTTGCAGAAGTTTGAGCTAGATGGCGCGACGAGTCACACCAAACTAAAGTAACTGTATATGCTCCGCTTGCGGAGCAGAGTACCGCAATGGTGCCATTCTGGAGCCAAGCACTGCGGGAAGCCACGGTCGGTTTTTGCAGGGGACGCGAAGGCGCCGACGCGAGACGGCGTGCTGTGGCGTGCTGCAGCGCGCTGCGGAAGGAAAATAGTGCGGAGTGCGGCGACGAGCCGCGCAGGCGCCGTCATCGTTATCCCGTCGTTTCCTGTTTCCCTCTCGATTGCAAAAATCGCAGCCGCGGATCCTGCGGGTCGCGTGTGAAGTAAAGTCGTCAATTCATTGCGGTAAACGACGCAGCGGCTGACGAAAACGCCGTCCCCTCGCTTTCGCACGAGAGCTCGCCGGCTCGCCAGGACGGCCGGATGTGCCGGTCGCGTATCGCGTATCACTCCGCGAGAGCCGCAGACGCGTGCAACGCGATCGCCTCCGTGTCGTCTGCTTCCCATACCTTGGAAACGGGTGTCCTAAAACATCACTCGCGTTATAAAAAAAACAGGATTGTATTGTACCCAGTTGACGAACATAATGTTCAATGACTTAGGAAGCTTTCGGCTCGTTCGCTTTTAGTCTAAGATCTATATTTGGCGAACTCAAAGCGGAAAATATGTTCCCCCGAAACTCGGCGCTCTGGAAGGCCGCTTTCCCGCACGAAGGTCGGATCCAGTTCTTCCCACATGACCACTCCTCCGCCAATACGGAGATGGCGGCGAAAGGAAAAGGAACGCGATACTCTGGCTCTGCAAGCAGAGCCTATACAGTTACTCTAGACCAAACTTGTCCGCCCCGAGGCTATCCCCTTCAGACTTCCACATTTCTAAACGAAACAAAGCCACTCCTCTCCGTTGCAAGCTGGTTCCTAGAATTAAACTTGCGCAATGTAAAGCATAATATTCTATCATTCAGTTCATTTTTGCTTATGCAGGTTTGTCAAGTTTAAAGGGTGGACCCTGCAGTGGGGAACACTCTCCCAAGCCAGCCACTCAAATAAAGCTGTCTACAGAAGGAAGTGTCACAGGGACGTTATGCGTGTGCTGGGCCGACCCATTTCAGACCCGTATCAGACCAGTACACGTATCTCATAATACCATATGACAGGAACAGGTCGATCAGTTTTGCAACTCGATAAAGTTTCAAACGTTTTCTTTCTCTTTTTTTTCAGTAGGGGTTCTACGACTACCCGATAGATGGCACCAGCGTTTCTTGTAGGCGATTTTAAGAAGGCAGGCCGTCGTACGCAGTCGCAAGTGTGAAAAAAGGTCTTTACTATCATTGATGTCGCAGTCTTATTGGCTGCCCAGCGATAACAAGATGACCGGGACTCGACACGCCGTGCGTTCCTTGAGCTATGGGAGAGTATAGAGAATCACTGGTAAAGTCAACTTACGAGTGTCCTAGTTCGTGCACCGCGAGGTCGATCATCCTGAACAATCCTGGCGTGTCTTCGACTGCAAGGACGCGCTGGACTCCACAAAGAGATCCAATGAAGGCTAGTCCTACGATTGATGACAAGAACCAAGCAACAATTCATTTACATACGAGTAGCGTGCCAAATAAATTTACATTTTTTATTCCTGCATTCACTGGTCACACCGGTCAGTAGTCATGTACTCCCCCTGGAACATAATGCACTTGGGCTACCAGCTACCACCCATGTGGCAACATTTCCGTGCCAGGGCATAGTCTTCAAGATTTTTCGCGCACTCTGCTCCAGCCTGTCCAAAAGCTCGGCTGCACAGCAGAAAAAAACGAGCGAACTCAATTCTCTAAGTAAAACAAAAATGCCTTGCTTTGTATGTTTATACAGCCTTGATGGAGATAAGGCCTCCATTTTGAAAAACAGCGCGAATAACACACGGACAAGAAGGAGAAAAAAAAATATGGGTTGTGTGTGTGTTTATACAGCCTAGAACTTGGTCTTCCTCACAGGGGCGACGAGTCTCCCAGCTGTAGATGAGAAATTTAGCCAGTGCGGTACAGCCGCTAGCCTGGGGTCTTTAACGTGCATCACGCAGTAGTGATACACGACCGCACGCCGGTACGATGCTCATCCAGATCGAAACGGGCAGGGGTGGGGCTCGAACCCGGGATCCCTGGGTTCTGCAGCGCGAGCTTTCACACAAGAAGGAGAGAACACACAGGACGAGGCGCTGGTCGTTCTCTTAGCTGTAGTTGAGAAATTTAGCCAGTGCAGTACCAACCTCTAACCTGGGGTTTTTAACATGCATCACGCAGTAGTGATTACACGAACGCGTGCCGGTACGAAACTCATCCAGATCGAAACGGGCGGGGGCGGCGGGGATCTAGTCCAGGAGGTTCTCAGCGCAAGCCTTTCGCTCCACGCTCCGAGCTGAGACGCTTTAGCCCACTCGGCCACTTCTTCCCCTAGTTCTCTAAATATCCGCATGCTGCGGTTATAACCAAACCAGAAACGGAAAGAAAATTAGCACGCTGTCAAGTGTGAGCCCGCGGCATGAAGCTTGCATTTTCATTGTTCTCATCATCAGAGTAGTGACAGGTAAGTCTACCCCTTTCGATCTTCGCGCTGTTTCGCTGGATGATACCTCAGAATGCAAGATTTAGTATGAATCTATATTTGTCCTCCGTGGATGTTGTCTGGACCGGCGGGACAGGCAAAGAAGTGTTTTTGTCGTCATGCATGAGAACAGCTTTCTGAACTCCCCTTACACGCACGACATTTGTTATATACACCCCTCGCGCCTTGAAAAGATGAACCTTTCAATTTCGATCAACTCCTTCCTTGCCAAAGCTATGTGCGTTGTTAACTAGAGGAAGGGTAGTGAGATTAGGCACGGAGGCGCGCCATGCATTGCTGTGAAGCGGCTGGCGTGGAAAGGTCCCGGATGTACGCAGCGGAGCTGCGGTAGCATGGGTCGGAGGATCCGAGCGTTCCGAGGACCTTCGGCGAGCAGGTTCGGCTTGGCGGTTCGGCAGCGCGATCTGGCTCCCGTTCACAACTTTCCCCCGTGTTTTCTGTCGCTTATGTTGATCGAAGTGCATTGACGAATTGACTGCGATGACAACGACGACGACAACGCCACTAGCGCAGCAAATGCTATATGAGATGCGTGCGCTATACTACAGTCCATGCTTTTGTGGCGCCCTCTTGTGCCGTCGACACGATGTGCGGCAGCCGTGAGTGCTCGCTGAGCTCACTTCCTTTTCTCTAGTTCACCTTAATTGCGAGTATCACTGATATCTATGACTAGTTTCTGGATCGCGTTTGCCCAGCTCCGCCTATGCACAGAAATGCGACCACGGTCGGCCGTCTTTTTGGTAGATTTGTATTATCTCTAGCCATCATAGTAATATGGCGGACAGCGCTGAGGCGGCAGGCTGCCATAAAAATAGATGCAGTAACTACACTGTACCGTAAGTGATATTTCGTACTTGATTGAAGTCGCTCGACGAAGCATATTCTTGAAACTCAGTGCTTGCGACAGAGGAAGTTCGGCTATGCCGTCATGGTGCGCGACGCGCTGTTCATATCGCCCCGATCGCGAAAAGACAAGAACTTTTTACCGGAGGTATTCAGTGTTTCGTGCTATCCTGGCGCGCAGAGATACGTTCGGTGAAAAATATTTATTTTTTCCCAAGGTTTCCACGAAGTCGCCTCGCGACCCTTCAAGCTGTAGGTGGAAAACGTGTACCCTATCTAACGGGCGGTAGATTGACTATTCGCAACTTTCAGGGATGGTGGTACCGCGGTGTGAGAATTACGTTCCTTAGCTCCTGGGTGATCAGCTTCACAATGAAGGTGCTAGCCTACACATTCCTGACGTGAAAAAATAAAGTAAGACTCGAATATTTATTGATTGATCGATTGGGGTTTCATGGCGCAAGGGCTGCTAAGGCCAAAGTGCGCCAAGAGTACTGCTTGTATATAGCAAAACTGAAATTACTTATGCGTCGCAGTCCCAGCCTCGTACTGTTGTTCTACAATGATCCTCCAGATGAGAGCTATTTTGACAGGCGCCAGTGCGCCCCCTATAGGTCGTGAAAGTTGTGAATGGCGTAAAGAGTTAATATAACTGGACAAAAAAAATGGCTGACCGCGGCCGCATTAGAGGAGCGGGCAAACGCGTGCCAGAAAAAAGTCATAGGAATCAGCGGGGAGTATTCACTAGCAGCCATAGCTGTGTGCACGACTTCAGAGTTCGTGCTAGCGGTGAGCTTTCACAGCTCTTTTTCAACGTGCATTCCACACCATCAAGATTACGGCTCATAGCAGACTATTAATGTCAGCTCGATCAAGAGCATGGACTCTGGGGGAGGACGACAAAGCGCTTGATCTGCAAGACTTGTTTTTCTGGATGTGAGCAGAGAAGAAGAGTTCGGAACTGATAGGACGTATTTTTTACGGCTCCTGCGAGATTAACCTTGCGCCCACTTCACTGGCCTGCGGGTTCCCAGCGGCCTTGGCCCTGGCCTCGGGCCAGACCAGCTCGGGTGGTGACCTATTACCATCGCCGCCGGAGGCGTCCGGCACAGAAATGTCCAGGCTCACCCAGCAACAGCCACCACCCTGAGCCGACCATTTCCCCGATGACAGACCTCTATACGGAACCTTTCACCCACTGCAAGTAAGCCTTCCATCAACTCAAGAACAACCACAGGGACCACCGCCACCAAGTCTCGAACATACATTTAATGTATTAGCGACACTGATTCAGCAGAACCCCGCATTCCTCGAGGCACTGAATCATTTTATGGCGCAGTTCACACCGCCTCCGCAAGGTGAGCACTACCCACATCAACAAGTGCGGCAAAAGGAACCACGGCACCGGCGTCCATCGACACGATGTAGTGCAAGATCTCGCTCGCCTAGAAGCGAAACAAATACGCAAGATGACACGACCTCGTCAGAAGAGCACCGGCATATTCCGGATAGCGACCATTCCTATACAGCACGTTCGCTGACACCGAATGGCAACCAGTTTCCAACAGTCACCGCATCTCAGTGCCATGGCGGCCTTAACCAAGAACACAACACCGAGGTGCCCTTGCAACATGGAACGTCACCGCAAGCTGCATCGCAGAATATGGAGGGAGATGACGATCAAGAGTGGCCGCTCCCGGGCGCCACAGCACGAAAGAGGAAAAGAAACCCACTGACTCCGGAGGATGCGGAAACGTCAAAACCAATTCCACAACCAACACAGACGGTGGTACTTCGGTCCATTGGAAGAAAGGCGGTGAATTCCTTCACAGGGCAGGAAATCTTTGACGCTGTCAAGCAAACCGGCGTTCAGAGCAATGAGCAGTACACCGTTCATCGTAATGAAAAGGCAAATGCAATAGCCATAACAACACGCGACCCCCTAACATTGGAGAAACTTCTCAAGGTGAAGGAAATACGAAAGGGCACAGAAGTACACCAACTGCAGCCCTATAAAGCTATGGCAGGGAACGAATGCCGGGGAGTACTCTACCTCCCGGGCGAGGGACACGAGGTGACCGCCGAGTCTCTACAAGCAGACATTGTGTCCAAGAGTCACAAAGTCGTTGCAGCAAGACCGATGGGACCCAAGGGGAACACCATCCTTGTGACATTTGAAGGCAGAGTTCTCCCCAAGAAAGTCAGCTACTTGAGCGAAGTCCTTAATGTACGCGAGTACCGCCCACGTCCACTGGTGTGTTTTCGCTGTCACGCGATCGGACACAAGAGGGATGTGTGCCCTAGGGACGCTTCTCAATGCGGAACGTGCGGCTCCGAGCACGACGGCATGGAAGGATGTGCACAAACCCCAAAGTGCAGGAACTGCGGCGGTGCCCACGTAGCCACCAGCAAAGACTGCCCGCAGCGAGCAATCCCACCGCGGCGAAACAACCACAAACCAACAGCAAAAAGGATCAAGGACAGGAACAACCCCCACCTCTGCCAACAGCTTCTGCGCCACCGGCACACCTAGGCGGCGGGACCTCATATGCAGCTAAGACCACGGGATCGGTTCAATCCCAGACACCACCAGCACATCAATCACAAGAGGCCGGCATGATGTTACAAACTCTGCGCGCCCAGCAGGCAGGGTTCGCGCGACTGGAAAAACAGATGACCGCGCTCACGGCGGCCATACATATGCTCATTAACACGCATAATGCCAAGCACTAATCAACTCAACCCAAACGTCAACCAACAGAAATTACCCCCCACACCTAAACACACCTCACGGCGTTCCAACCCATCCCCGAGCATACTTCAGTGGAACTGCGGAGGGTTGCAGCCAAAGCTACCGGAACTTAAAATTCGTCTACAAGCACTAAAAGACCGCGCACCAGACGTTATCCTTCTTCAGGAAGCTAATGTTGACAAAATCAAAATTCGAGGATATAACACATATATACAGCCGAGCATTAAAAGACAAACAAATAACTACGGTGTCGTAGCCACATCGGTCAAGAAAAAACATACACAAGCACAATTAAATTCCGAGACAGCGTGTTCAGACGACCGTGAGGTTGTCTCTACGCGGGT